AACGCGACCAGACGAGATCATCGTCACGACCATCGACCGCACGCACCACACATACATCGTGCGGGCCATGGAGCTGGGCTGCAATGTGGTGACGGAGAAGCCGATGACGATCGACGCGCCGCGATGCCGGGAGATTTTCGACGCGGTGGAGCGGACGCAGCGGAAGGTGCGCGTTACCTTCAACTATCGATATGCGCCGCATAACAGCAAGATCTTCGAGGTCCTTCGGTCCGGAGCCATCGGCACAGTAACGAGTGTGCATTTCGAGTGGATGCTGAATACCCAGCACGGCGCCGACTACTTCCGACGCTGGCACCGCGACGCCCGGAACAGCGGCGGCCTGCTGATCCACAAGTCCACCCACCACTTCGACCTGGTCAATTGGTGGCTGCAGTCGCGCCCGGCCACGGTCTTTGCGCAGGGCGACCTGCGCTTCTACGGCAAGGAGAACGCGGAGAGTCGCGGGGTGCGCCAGTTCTACACCCGCGCCCACGGCAGCCCCGCCGCCCAGGACGACCCCTTCGCCCTCCACCTCGACCGCAACCCTACTCTCAAGGCCCTTTACCTCGACGCGGAGCACGAGGACTCCTACTACCGCGACCAGAGCGTCTTCAGCGACGGCATCAGCATCGAGGATACAATGAATGTGATCGTCCGCTACGAGAACCGCGCCGTCCTGACCTACTCCCTGACGGCCTACGCCCCGTGGGAAGGCTTCCGCGTCAGCTTCAACGGAACCGGCGGGCGACTCGAGGCCGAGGTGGTCGAGAGCAGCTACGTCAACTCCGGGGGCGAGCAGGCCCAGGAGGGTGCGGCGGAGCGCATCACCCTGCTGCTGCGCCCGCTGTTCGAGCCGCCACGGGAGATCGAGGTCAAGCAGACGGCGGGTGGGCATGGCGGAGGGGATACCCTCATGCTCCGGGAGCTATTCGGCGGTGGCACTTTGGAGCAGGATGACTTCAAGCGCGCAGCAAACCATGTCAACGGCGCTGCCTCCATCCTGACCGGCATGGCGGCGAACCGCGCCATTCGCACCGGGCAGGTCGTCCACGTCGGCGACCTTCTCACGCTGCCCTAGGTCCATTTAGCTAGTTAGATAGATAGTAGATTTCAATCTGTGATTTAATATGATTTAATCCTTTTTCTCGCGATGTGCATTGGTGTATTTACAGCAAGCTCTCGTAAGCTACTGAACGTGCACATAGACCACAACTTAGTTCGATAGCGTTACGATAGACATACAGCCAATCATAATAGTGTCACCATTTCCCAGCTCTTCTCTCTCGCTTCCACCAATGTCAATACGCGAGATGCTTCTGGTGCTGGTGTCCAGCTAACACAACGCCATGCCCTAACTGGGCAGACAAATCCGTACCGGATGAATGGGGAAGCTACGCCAAGAGACACCCAGCGGAATGCGGGGAAGTCGTGGGCAAGCGGATAATTTGGACGGAAGAAATGCGGACGGCTGAAACGGAAGAAAGGTCGTGGAAAGTACTGTACAACACGCTACAACAATAATGGTGGACTTCGATCTCTGGAGGCGAAATACCGCCGCGGATGTGTGGGGTACCCCAACCCTAGTCATGCCATCAAGTCTTGCGTAACCGGTTTCGATTCCTTGCGTCGCAGTGCAACGCGCTTGTGAATCATCTATTTGAATTATATACTGCAATCTTAGGGCAAGGTCAGCTCGTTCTTTTGCCCATTCCCTCCCCCGGAATTCCCCATTGGTGCGAAAAGTAGCTTCGTCCTATGTGGCGTCTAGCTAGACTTCAAGCCTCCCTCTGTCATGGCTCCGCATTCTTTCTGTCCCCGTGATCAGACACGGGGCCATCTCTGCAGTCTGGCGCCGTCGAAGGAACGACAGGGATATAAGACCCTTTTCTCCGATCCAGTATCCTCTCGTACTCTAACTCAACCGTTCGTCTGGCTAGCTACCGAGGTGCAAAGATCCCTACGCTGCCAGGTTGGAATTGCAGGACCCCTTTCCCTCATTCCATCTCACCAACCCCAGCACCATCGTCAGCCACCATGGCGGCGCACAACAGTGATGAAATCTCCCCGGTCGAGCCTCCGACATACACGGCAAGCTCCAATGCTGTTCAGTTCCTGGCCAACCGGGCCGCGGAGGAGGTCGAATTCACTCCCGAGGAGGAAAAGGCAGTGGTGCGGCGGATTGACAAGCGGGTGCTGGTGATCATCCTGTGGGCGTATTTCTTCCAGCAGCTGGACAAGAGCTCCCTGAGGTAGGTGCCTTGATGTTTCAATGCGCAGGTGTCGCGAGCTGCCGCTGACGCTTTCTGCAGTTACGTCTCCATCTTCGGCCTCACGACCGATGCGCATCTGCACGGCCGGCAGTACTCCTGGCTGGGTTCGATTCTGTATCTAGCGGAGCTGGTGATGCAGCCGCTCGCGGCGCTGGCCCTGGTCAAGCTTCCAACGGGGAAGGTACTAGCCGCGGCGATCTTCTTCTGGGGGTCCGCGCTGTCCATCATGTCGGCATGCACCGACTTCAAGTCGCTGCTAGGAATGCGGTTTGTGCTGGGCGCCTTTGAGGCGCTCATCGCCCCCTCCTGCGTGGCGATCACCCAGATGTGGTGGCGGCGGCGCGAGCAGACGCTGCGCACCAGCTACTGGAACGCGATGAACGGCGTCACCTCGATCGTGGGCAGCCTCCTCACCTACGGGCTTGGCCACATCCAGCACGGCTCCATGTACCGCTACCAGACCATCTTCCTATTCTGCGGCCTGCTGACCGTCGCCTACTCCGCCGTGGTCCTCTGGCTGATGCCCGACTCCCCCATGGAGGCCAAGTATCTCACCATGCGGGAACGGATCATCGCCACGGAGCGGCTGCGCGCCAACCAGATGGGGATCGCGACGCGGCAGTGGCGCTGGGAGCACGTGTGGGAGACGGCCCTGGACCTGAAGACCTGGGGCTGGTTCGTCGCCATCATTACGATCTCGTAAGTCGCCCCTGATTTCCGGCCCGTGACACATCCCAACTCTGACGTTGTGATGCAGCATCGCCAGCGGCGGCATCGGGACCTTCGGCTCCCTGATCGTCAGCTCCTTCGGCTTCGGCAGCTTCGAGACCATCCTCTTCAACATCCCCTTCGGAGTCATCCAGGTGCTCTCGATCCTGGGCACGGGCTGGGTGGCCACGCGGATCCGGTCCAAGGGCTGGACCATCGCCGGCGTCAGCGTCCTGCCCACCGTGGGCACGATCCTGATGCTCACCGTGCCGCGCGAGCAGAAAGGCGTGCTGCTATTCGGATACTACCTGGTATGTCTCTCGCAGCGCTGGACCTTCCAACCCCATTCTTTGAAGCCGAGAACAGTCACTGATACGTCCACTGATACGTCCCAAAACAGGTCTCCACCCTAGCAGCCATCACCCCGCTCATCTACGCGTGGCAGGCCCAGAACACCGGCGGGGACACCAAGAAGAAGTGCACCTCGGGCGTGGTGTTCGTGGGCATGTGCGCCGGCAACGTCATCGGCCCGCTGCTGTACTCGACCAACGAGGCCCCGCTGTACCGCACCGGTCTCATCGCCAACCTGGTCATGTTCGTGACCGTGGGCGTGGTGTCTGCGTACGTCCCCCCTCTCTTTCCCCGGCGCCTTGTGTCTCCCGTGGCGTATCGAGCTGACTGAGAATCAGCTTGATTCCCTTCTACCTTATGTATCTCAACAAGCAGCATGCGCGCAAGCGTCGCGAGCTGGGCAAGGGGGACCCGGTCCCCGACGGGGCCGCCGCCGCCCCCGCGCACGAGGAGCAGCTCAAGACCGACGCCGTCCAGCTCGAGCAGGTCCACGACTACCGTCGGGAAATCGATCAGGATAACGGTTTGCATGACGTGACGGATCGGATGAATGAGGATTTTGTCTACGTGTACTGATAGGCGCCTGCGGTAGACGAAGGGACTTGGTTGCGGGCGCCTGGTGTCGATGGGATGAGGGGGGATTTGATACAGGGTTTGAGATGCCGTGTGAGCTTAGTTCAATCAACGTATAAAATGTATAATTACAGGGCTCGTATATGTAAGGTTCAGACTGAGGCTTCTGAGCCTGGACTGAATCGAATAACAACAACTTCATGGCAATGGATGGAGGACTGATACATTCCTTGCATCGATCGCCGAGCCGGGGGTTGGGCGTGTTGAGGAGAAACGATATGTATGCCTCAGAAGAAAAGTAGATCGTATTCGGGGTGGAGAGAAGGTGGACTGTCCAAGATGTACTGTCCACCGGTGCGTGTGACGGGAGGATTCCTCTTTTCTTCTCTAATCTGAAATTCTCGTCAGTAGGGGATCAGAGAAATCTTTTTTCTTAGGTCCTTACAAGAAGTAAAGTGAATGGCACAACGGGTTGAATGGACTTGTCTTCAACACGTGCGGTTTTAGAAATATCCTACGAAGATGACGTGAATCAATGTTCGAGCTGTACGGAGCAGATGTCCATTCACTCGAGTGGCTCGGAAACTCCCTCTTCTGCGACTGGCTTCTTTTCGTAGTTTATATACACCGTACGTTGTGGCAATGTGTTGGGCTCTAGCACCTCCTCGTCCGGACCAGGGTTAGGATATAAGGCATGAAGAGATCGGCTTACGACGTTTGAGGGGGAAATGTCGGTAATCATTTTGCTGCTCAGTACGTGATCCGAAAAGGTCGAGTTAATCGCTCATACGCTGCAAGCATCACCAGTACAAAATGGGAGAGGAGGGTCATCCGAGCCCCATGGATGCAGCTGGAAAGGGAGTAGAGTGTGGCAGTGCGAGGCTTAGCAGACTGCAGACGATCTCCTGGCCTCCAGGGTCAAATCCCAGTCAAAGTGCTGGCAACCTGGAGAAAACTATTGTCATTTATTGCTAATCAAGCCCTCGCGGCGAGCAAGGTATAGGATTCAGGCGCGCGGAACGCTCTTGAAGTACCAACCCCGCAGATTCGCTACCATACAACGAGCATGACGAATGCAAAATCCCCCAATGTCGCAGTCTAGATTGCGAAACCTGCCACAAACGGTGACAGCAGCGAAGCGAGTATCAATCCCGGCGCCAATGACGCGACGGTGTGGCCGGCGGCAGTGGAAGAGGAGTTTGAGCTCACGGCCGCCAGGCGGAGCTCCGAGTAGGTCACATTGCTGGCATTGTAGCCACAGAGCCCGCTGCCGGGCATCATCGAAGCGGGAAAGAAGACGCGCGGCTCGCCCTTGTCCATGGAAACCACGAGTTCGCTGTTGGTGTTGAGGGTGTAGTTGACGCAGTTCAGCACCTCGGTCACCACGGCGCTGGCGCCATAGCTCACAGGGAGGGTCAGCTCATAGGCCGACCCGTTGGAGCCTTGCGTAGATAGGAGCATGACCACCTGTCGCCCGTAGCTCCCTTTCCAAAAGGCCAGTTCGCTTCCACCCTGGTAGAGGGGGTAGGTCTGGGAGTTGATGTAGTCGGAGTCGAGATTGATGGCGTGCTTGCGGATGGCGTTGAGCTTCGTAATGAGCTTATACAGCGTGGCGTTGGTGTCGTAGTCGGTGGTCCACAGGGCTGCTCGGTTGGAATCAACGATGCGCTGCTCCAGACCTTGGTATACCAGGGGGATGCCGTCAAACAGCATCATGAAAGTCAGTGCGTTCTCGGCCAGCATGATATCGTCATTCATGTACGCCCAGCGATCCACATCCTGGTCCTCGATGAAGTTGACCATTGCCGGCACGTCCGGGCAGAGACGGTTGATCGTGGCGATCTCCTCGAGCAAGGAACCCGGCTCCCCGTTCAAAAATCCGGTGATCATCGCATAATAGAGAGGGTAGTTGGGCAAACTGGGCAGATACTCCTGTTGATAGTTGCACACAATGCTGGCATTGGACTCCATGACTTCGCCCGTCATCCACCCTCCCACCGTTTCCACGTATGTCGGCAAAAAGCTTGGAGTGAGGGACTTGGCGGCATCAATGCGCAGTCCGTCGATTGAGTAGTTGTTCATGACCGATTTACTCCAGGTCATCAAGATGTCCTGCACGCCGGTGTGCTCGGTGTAGAGGTCCGGCAGCGCGGTGTAGTTGTCGCCGGTCTGGCACCATTGCGCTTCGGTGTAGTTGTTCCAATTCGTGATGAGGCAATAGGGGTGAAAATACGAGGAGCCATTGAACTGGGGAAAGACGGTATAGTCGATGTGAGTTGCTGGGTTTTCCCCGTCGGTGTTATAGGCCATATTGTTGATCACGACGTCGAGCATCAAGTACATTCCCCGCGCATGCACCTCCTCCGCCAGCTTGACGAGATCCTCCTGGGTGCCAAAATGAGCGTTGACCTCGTAGAGGTCGAGTGGCCAGTACCCGTGATAGGCCTCGCCGTCCTTGGATCTACCGGCAATGTTTTTCACCACGGGCGAGATCATGATGGCATCGAATCCCATCCCTTGGATATAATCCAACTTGTTGATCGTCCCCTGCCAAGTCCCCCCACAGTAGCTGTTTTCCGTGACATTGCATGCGGTGGTTGTCGAACCGTTGGTGAGGGCGAACCGATCGGTCATCGTCTGGTAAATGGACCGGGTTTTCCATTGTTCGGTTGTTGCCGCAAGAGTGGAGGTGGAGCAACAGGTCAGGAGGAGGAAGAGGTAGAACAAGTGAGAGACCATGCTGCCTTGCCCGAGCACGAGAGCCATAGACTGCAGCATTGTGGCTCTATCTGTCTCTGGACAGTAACCGGGCATACGATGGCCCAGCAGGGGGTCAGATAGCAGGGTTGGATATTCAGGCTGGGCTGTGAACACGGCCACTTATCGTCCACGGAGGAAAGAGGGAATTGAGAATGTCCGATAAAGTGACCCCGGAGAAAGGAATGATAAGCACATAGTATAGCAGGGCTAAAACGACGATGCTGGAAGGGTCAAGTCAACAAGATGCAGGGCGCATCATCGACCGTGTGAAGGGAGGGCCCGCCAGAGAAAAAGCCCCAGCGTGAGGGAAGTACTTAGTATACTAGTACTGGGTACCTCGCATCGTGCCCGAAAAGTAGTCAGTGGCCATGATCCAGCTCCCCTGTCCATTTTTAGAGAGAGGGGGACCTTTCTCGCAAAACTAGGCAGTAACTTAACCAGTTCATCCATCGGCCATCCAGACAACAATCCACTAATAAGAAGCGGATTTGCGACGGAGTAATATTGAAGCTAGAAGGAAAGCATTGCGTAAGCCCTTGTGTTTGCGCCCCACCGGCCTTGTCATCGTCGTTGGTTGGCAGTGGGGAGAAGTGGGAAGAAGTGGGGGAGAAATCCAGCCCTAAGTGGGACCCGGTCAATCGCAACGAACGAGATCGTTCACAGTCACTTCCAAGCTTCGGTGGCCAAGCGGCTAAACCTTTAAGCATACGTACTATGGAAGAGCAAAATGAACTAAGAGAGAAAAAAAACCAAAGGCCCGACCAGAGATTTACGCTCGCGGCAACGCTGTTCCTGAACTTCCTCCGCGTACTCCCCAAGCACAGACAGTAACTTAACTGTGTACGTATCATGCAACGGAGGGCGAATTATGTGATTGGTACTGTACCTGACTAGGGCGGGCAGAGGTGTGATGTCTGGCATCCTAACTCTACGTAGTATGTTCGTGGTCTTGTGCTGTTGGAATTTTTAGCTACTTGTCCACTCCTCATAGACCCATCGGTCAATTGTCAAGACTCAAGAAGACTCAACTCCGCTAGACCACTCTAAAAATATCTCACCAACAAGGTCTGGCAACAGTTTGGAGAGTAGGCATTCGTAATCCGTACTGTGAGCCTCGACTCAGTCAAGACTAGACTGGTAACGAGGAGATCTCAAATAATAATCGACCTTATCGGACCTACTCCTCATTACTCATGTATCTGTTGGCATCTTGTTTGTTAGCTTGACTTAATCTCCCACGCTCGTTTCCCACCCCTGCACATAATCATCTCCTTTCTCGACCGGTTTGGTCGCAACCGTTGCTACTTTTCTGCCTCTTTTGAAGTCTCGGAGCAGAGTAGTGTGTTCGCCTATGATCGGGTTCAGAAACATTGGGGTTGCTATTTTTCCCACTGCTCAAGACGCAGCCTGTTGTGCTGCCCAGCAAACATGAAGTGGGCGCTTGCTGGCCTGGTCCCAACCTTTCTGACAATCTTACTGCTAGTTGGAGTCTTGCCGGCCGCCGCTTGGCCCTACAATGAATCGCTCGCCGCGTACAACCTCAACGAGAACGAAACTGCCACCAACCCCGCCGACTACTGGGGTCAATGGCCGAACCACACGGGCGACTACTTTCCTTCGCCGGACAATTGGCGATTCCCTTTCTATACCCTGATGCTGGACCGGTTTGTGAACGGCGATCCGACGAATGACAATTACAATAAATCCATCTGGGAGCATGACATCTCGTCGACCCAGATGCGCCACGGGGGAGATGTCGCGGGCCTAATCGACACGCTGGATTATCTGCAGGGCATGGGAATCAAGGTTGGTGAAGGCAAACCCGAGTCAGTTTGGGGAACTAATGACCGAATTGCCGCCTAGGGGATCTATCTGGCCGGCACCATCCTCATGAACCAGCCCTGGGGATACGACGGGTATTCGGCGCTGGACACCACCTTGCTCGATGGTCATTATGGCAATCTGACACAATGGCGGAATGCCATCACGGAGATCCACAAGCGCGGGATGTACGTTGTGCTCGACAATACGATCGCCACCATGGGGGATTTGATTGGCTTCCAAGGTTACTTGAATACCACGACACCCTTCACCGTGAAGGAGCATCAGGTCGAGTGGAAAAGCGCCCGTCGATACGTCGATTTCGATATCGGAAACACCTATAATGAGACCTGCGATTATCCGCGATTTTGGTATGAGAATGGCTACCCAGTCCAGAAGACGGTCACCGATTCCCTCGTCGGCTGCTACGACAGTGATTTCGATCAGTACGGTGACATCGAAGCCTTTGGGGTGTATGCGGATTGGGAGCGCGAACTAGCCAAATTTGCCTCTGTGCAGGATCGCCTGCGAGAATGGCATCCCTCAGTTCGCCAGCGATTAATCCGACATTCGTGCATGATCATCTACCAGCTTGATATTGATGGATTTCGCTATGACAAGGCAACCCAGGCCACCGTCGATGCACTTGGTGATATGTCGGCCGCCTATCGCGAATGCGCCCGGGCAGTAGGGAAGGAGAACTTCTTCATCGCTGGAGAGATTACCGGGGGCAATACCTTTGGATCTGTGTACTTGGGCCGGGGCCGACAGCCGGATCAGTATCCGTCCTCGGCGGAGGTGGCGATGAATCTCACCAATACATCATTGCCGCAGTACTTCCTGCGACAGGAGGGGATGAATGCAATCGATGGCGCAGCCTTCCATTATTCTGTTTACCGTGCGCTCGAGCGGTTTCTCGGCATGGATGGGAACTTAGCCGCGGGATATGATGTCCCAGTGGACTTCATCGAGGCCTGGGAGGAGATGGTGATTTCAAACGACTTGGTCAACCCTAACACCGGTGTCTTCGATCCTCGCCACATGTACGGGGTCACCAATCAAGATGTGTTTCGCTGGCCAGCACTGGAGAAAGGGACTGAGCGCCAGCTGCTGGGCCTCTTTGTCACCACCTTGCTTCTGCCCGGAATTCCTCTCCTCTTGTGGGGAGAGGAACAGGCCTTCTATGTTCTGGACGCAACCGCGTCGAATTACATCTTTGGTCGCCAGGTCATGTCGCCAGCAACGGCCTGGCAAATGCATGGGTGCTTCTCACTCGATTCCTCAACCTACTATGACTGGCCTATCACCAAAGGTCGCCTTGCCTGCAACGATCCAACGGTATCTTATGATCATCGGGATCCCTCTCATCCGGCGCGGAATATCATCAAACATATGTACCAGATGCGTGTGGACTTTCCCGTGCTTAATGATGGCTATAACCTCACCAAACTCTCCAATCACACGGAAGAGGTCTATTATCCGGGCTCGAGCGGAACAGCTACTGAGACTGGGCTGTGGTCAGTCCTGCGTGATATCAGCTCAGACTACCAGGACTTAGGATCAGATGAGAAGAACCAGGCCGTTTGGCTGGTATACCATAATACCAACCGAACGATCCAGTATAGCTTCGACTGCGACGACAGTTCGACCGCATTAATTTCCCCGTTTGATACCGGCACCTGGGTGAAGAATCTTTTTCATCCCTTCGATGAGCACAAGCTAGTCAGCAGCCCGCAAAAGCTGGCCATCAATGGTTCTACAGCATACAACGGCTGCTTAGCCAACATGACCATGGATGCCTACGAATTCCGCGCATATGTACCGCGAGATCGCTTCGTTAAGCCCCGTCCGATGGTAACAAGCTTCTACCCGGGCCATGATGCTCCAGTGCTCTCCACTGTCGCCGCCAATGAAGACGAAACCCTCCAGATCAAACTCTACTTTTCTGAAGCGATGGACTGCGATTCGGTAACGAGTGCCATTTCACTGAACTCCTCTACGGAAGCAGGGAAGATTCCCTCGGTGGACACAGATAGTGTCAGTTGCAAGGCTGCTACGCTGAACGAAACCGGCAGCACATGGGCCGGATATATTCCCAGCGCGTGGATGTGGCAGGGGAACCTGACTGGCGTCTACAACGGAATCCATCGCGTGACCATCAACAACGCCAGCAATACCTACAACAACGAGACCACGGATGCGGTGGATCATTTCCTTCTGCGGGTGGGCCAGATTGATAACCCGATGATCTATCCCAGCGCCAATTACTCCAGTAGCCTGCTTCACCAATTCTCCAACGGGTCCCTGTACATCCAGCACCATGCCGCAGGCGCAGACAAGTGGCGATACTCCACGAATTGGGGGTCGTCTTTCTCGGAGTGGGTGGACTATACGGGGGGCAACACGACCATCACAGAAAACTCGTGGTCGGGCACCAGCAAGCAGGCTTGGAAGGGCTACCATGTTCGCACCGAATACTGGAGCCGGTGGACAGGCAGCAGTGACTATGTCCAAGAAGGCGACACCGGGTGGTCGCATCAAGTTGCTCGGCGCTTTCCACACCTCTTCTGGGAGGGCCCCTACAACGAATATGGATATGATGCTGGGCTGGACAACGTCATACGCCAGGATACGACAGATGGATTGTGGAAATACCATTTCACCTACGAATGGCCAGCCTATGGCCAGGTAAGCATCTGGGGGATGAACCCTGGCGGGGAGCCCGATGAGGGATGGGTGATGGGCGACGCCGACAATGACTCGGTGCTGGATCGGATGCCACCCTCATCGTTATCAACCACCGTGATCAATATCACGGAGCACCCTCCTTCGCCATATATTTCTTGGAAGCTGATCATCGACGATGCGACGATGAAGTATTCTCTTTCTCCCGTGGGACACCAAGCTACACAGATCGCGATGTTTGTGTTGTTTTGGATTGTGCCGCCTCTCTCGGCTGCGGCCTGCGCTTGGCTCTTCATGAAGTCCTTTTACAAGGTCAAGTTCAATGCGGTGGGTGCGAGTCAGAAACAACCAGTCTTCTCAATTGCTCTACGCCGCCGATTGTTCAAGAAGGACCACACCGGAGGAGGGGACTACAGCCGACTCAACCCCTTGATGCGGCTGGCAAACAAATCGGGGTTGCTGCAGACGGCCAACCCCATCATCAGCGCTGCAGCCGGCAAGCGACGCATGGTCTTGATTGCGACGATGGAATATGATATTGAAGATTGGGAGATCAAGATCAAAATCGGCGGTCTCGGGGTGATGGCACAATTGATGGGGAAGACCCTCAGCCACCAGGATCTTATCTGGGTAGTTCCCTGCGTTGGAGGGGTGGACTACCCTGTCGATACTCCGGCTGAGCCTATGGAGGTGACTATCATGGGTACGATATATGAGGTGCAGGTCCAGTACCACATCCTGAATAATATCACCTATATTCTTCTTGATGCGCCTGTGTTCCGCCAGCAAACCAAAGCCGACCCCTACCCAGCCCGCATGGATGATCTTCATAGTGCGGTATACTACTCGGCGTGGAACCAGTGTATTGCAGCCGCCTGCAAACGGTTTCCCATTGATCTGTACCATATCAACGACTACCATGGGTCCCTGGCACCTTTGTACTTGCTGCCTGAGACGATTCCCGTCTGCCTCTCCTTGCACAATGCAGAATTCCAGGGTCTGTGGCCGTTGCGAACGTCCAGTGAGCGGGAAGAGGTTCGATCAGTCTTTAACCTCAGTGCCGAGGTAGTGCAACAGTATGTGCAATTTGGAGAGGTGTTCAACCTCCTTCATGCTGGGGCAAGCTATTTGCGCGTTCATCAGCACGGCTATGGAGCGGTGGGTGTGTCGCGCAAGTATGGTAAGCGGTCCTATGCCCGGTACCCTATCTTCTGGGGGTTGCACAAAGTAGGCAACTTGCCGAATCCCGATCCGTCTGACTTGGGCGAATGGAGTCCGGAGCAAGCCTTGGCCGCACAGCGTGATAATGTGGAGGTCGATTCCGACTATGAACAAGGGCGCGCTGCTCTCAGGCTCCAGGCGCAAGAATGGGCTGGTCTCGAGCCGAACCCCGATGCTGAGCTTTTTGTGTTCGTCGGTCGCTGGTCCATGCAAAAAGGCATTGACCTGATTGCCGATATCATGCCCTCGATTCTAGAGACCCACCCGGGAGTCCAATTGATCTGTGTCGGGCCTGTTATTGACTTGTATGGGAAGTTTGCCGCCCTGAAGCTGGACCACATCATGAAGCGTTATCCGGGTCGAGTGTTTTCGCGGCCTGAATTCACCTCCCTCCCCCCGTATATCTTCTCGGGGGCAGAGTTTGCGCTGATTCCCTCGCGCGACGAGCCCTTTGGTCTGGTGGCAGTTGAATTCGGTCGAAAGGGGGCATTAGGAGTGGGTGCTCGGGTCGGTGGGCTGGGCCAGATGCCGGGCTGGTGGTATAATGTCGAGTCAACCTCAACCTATCATCTTCTCGACCAGTTCAAACAAGCTATCGACGCTGCCTTGGACTCGAAGCCGGCGATCCGGGCCCAGATGCGGGCTCGTTCCGCGAAACAACGCTTTCCAGTGGCGCAGTGGGTGGAGGACCTGGAGATCCTCCAGACCACAGCAATTCGCGTCCACAAAAAGGCGGCCAAAGGAAATGCCAGTGGCCGCTCTTCAACCCTGTCAGGGCTTGCTTTGCACGAGTCCAGCGGGTTGAACCGACCGCTACACTCTGCTTCAGGACTGCCATCAGGAATGCAGACCCCCCTGAGTCCTTCGCGTGACAGCAGCTATACCAACCTCAACCGATTGAGTGAGTTCATCGCCAAACCGGAGTCCGGCGAACGAGTGGTCTCCGGCCTGCAACGCAAACTTTCACTGGGTGTGCGTTCCGGCCCCGGCCATCAGCCTCGCGCCATCCGGGGCGAAGGGCCAACAGATGATCTGTCTGTCATGGAGGAGAGCCTTGAAGAACACGCCGCTGCCGATGTCGATCCGGATCATGCTCAAGACAACGAATACACCCCCACCTCTGCGGAATTAGAGGCCGCGCGCCGCATGCAAGCTGCTCAGCAGTCGGGGCTAACGGCTGTGCCTAGCTCGCGAATCTCCAGCTACAGTCAACTTCAAATTCCAACATCTCCCGGCACACCCCGAACGAGTTCGATGGGCGAAATGGGGCTGTTGCCTCCCATGGGCTTCAGTGAGGTCAACCACCGGCTGAGCAGTGCATCCTTACTATCGGTTGACATGGTCACGGGGCAGAAGAAGGATTTCCGACTGCAGAAAGTGGATCCCTTTTTCACGGATAGCACCGGCGAGTACCATGCTCTGTTCGATCAGAAATTGCAGAATCTGACCGGTGGCAACTCGGAGTCCGAGCTGTGCATCGAGAAGTTTCTCATTACCAGCGAAAAAGAGTGGTTTGAGCGATTCCACGACGCAAAGCTGGGTCGCCTAAAATCCCCAGCACCGTCTATCTTCCGCGATGACAAGAACGGCGCATCTTCTGTCTCTATCAATACTCGCGAGGACCGAAGCATCACCAATTGCAGCAGCAGCCACGACCATGGATCGGAACCGGATGATGAATTCCTGCTCGGCAAGGACTACAGGCCTCCTTCCGGTGTGAAACTCTGGATGCAAATTCGCCTCGGAAACTGGCCGATCTATTCCATCTTACTCGCTTTTGGCCAGATCATCGCGGCCAATTCCTATCAGATTACTCTGTTGACGGGCGAGGTTGGCGAAACTGCGGTCAAACTATATGGAATCGCAACCACCTATCTTGTTGCTTCGATTTGCTGGTGGCTGATCTACCGGTATTACAAGATGGCCGTTTGCCTTTCTCTTCCCTGGGCCTTTTATGGGGTAGCATTCATGCTCATTGGCTCTGCGCATTGGACCACAAACTCCTTCGCCCGCGGGTGGATCCAGAATGTTGGAACCGGTGCTTATGCCGTCGCGTCAGCCAGCGGATCCATGTTTTTCGCCTTGAATTTCGGCGACGAGGGAGGCGCTCCCATGGAGGTCTGGATCTTCCGGGCTTGTCTGACTCAGGGGTTGCAATCCGCATATGTTATTGCCCTCTGGTATTGGGGCTCGGTCTTGACGAAAGCCTCGAGTGATGGGGTTTCGACGACCACTGATGGGGTCTCTGGCTCCTGGAAAATGACGTACGTTTCTCCCCTTTTCCTCTGGGTTGCTTCTTCTGCCTCTTCACCTCCGACTGGAGATAAGGCTTGTGCATCGAATAATCATTGACCGTCGCTGACTATTTCTCTTCTCTAGTGCCATCTGCTACCCCATTGCAGTAGTGCTGGCTGCTGTTGGGCTTCTGCTGTTCCACGGACTGCCCAACTACTATCATCAATCCCCGGGCAAGATCGCCTCTTTCTACAAGGCCGTTGTTCGTCGAAAGATTGTGCTCTGGAATATCGTCTATGTCCTGCTAGCGAACTTTTTCCTCAGTGCGCCCTATGGCCGAAACTGGAACTGTAGATTTACCCCCCCCCCAATTCTTCGCCTATCTCGCTGCTGACCAATCTTGCAGTCCTCTGGTCCTCAAGCCACGCTCATGCCTGGCAAATTGTTATCTTGTGTATTGTCTTCTTCGGGTTTGTCTGGGCGGGTTTCCTGTTCATCGTGAGCCGGTATCTGAAGGCCCACAGCTGGTTCCTCCCCCTGATAGCCTGCGGGCTGCTGGCCCCACGGTGGGCGCAGATCTGGTGGGCCACTTCAGGAATAGGGTACTACCTGCCCTGGGTCTCTGGAGGCTATGTCGGAGGGGCGCTCGCATCCCGCAGTCTCTGGCTCTGGCTTGGGGTCCTCGATAGTATCCAGGGTCTCGGATTCGGCATCATTCTGCTCCAAACCCTGACGCGGACACACATGCTCTTCACCTTGATCTGCTCCCAAGTGTTCGGATCCATCGCGACCATCGCGGCCCGAGGCTTTGGCCCCAACAAGCTCGGCCCCGGCCCAGTCTCTCCTGACCCTACCTTTGGGGCCAGCGCGGTGGCGAATGCATGGTTCTGGGTTGCCTTATTCTGCCAATTGATTATCTGGTACGTCGCTATCTCTCCTATGCCTGTCGGGATGGGGACCATACGCTAACGCTGGACTGTAGTGCTGGCTTTTTGCTTTTCTTCCGCAAAGAACAGCTGGCGAAGCCCTGAGCGTCACAAGGATGACTGACATCGGTCTGATTTAAAGACCTTGGAGAAAGATGAATCGTGCCAGAGTTGTCAATCTGGTCGAAGTCCTAATGCCATCTGGCAAGGGACGATGAGATAATTCGAGGGCTACGAGCCTGATCACAGCGGAGAACATCATGTACTGTAGATTATCAGGCGATCCGCCAATATGTAACGCAGTGTCCCGCGACTTCTGAGGCCGGGTAGTGAATCTGGCCATGATGTGCCAGATGTATCACCATTTCTGACTCCCCGTAGCAGCTCCCAATCTACATGTTCGACAATAGCATGTTGGCAAGCAGACGCAATCCACTTCCTTACACACTGAACTTCGCGTGTGTACAGTCCAGCTCGGTACCATAGCGCGGAGCAAGCTCCGTCAATCTATGATTGCCAGCCCAGTTGCTTCGTAGCAACTGATACAAAGCTGCTAAGTTCGTTGCCTTCCGAGCGACCGCCGTTGGCTATACAGCCATGCGTAGTCATGAGATTCAAGCCGCCGACTTCCCCCGCCGATATTTTAATATCCGTCGTAGTTCTAATAATAGCCAGCCCCGGCTGAAATCAGATGTACTGTACCGATTATGCACGATGCAGGCGTCACTGGTACCCGTTGGCCATCTCTCAAAGCAAACCGTGCTGCAGGCCCAGTCAAGGGCTGACAGCCGGGTTGGAAAAGTCCTGGGCATGTGGTCTCATTTCTTGGCAGGTTTTGAATTCTGGGCCGCTTGTGGCACTCATACTGCCCTGTATTTGGCCCGCAGTGATGTTGTAGTGTACAATGAAGGTTGGTTATAGCCGTATCGGTGACATGGCGTAAGGTAGGTCCATGTACTCGGTACTTTCTTCTCCCATCAGAGGAATGTACCCTGTGTGAATGATAAGCTGGGTCGACTTGATGTTGAGGCAGAGGATCAGAGGTACCTGTGAACCTTAGCGATCGGCCGATAAAAGATATATCTGATAAGCTGTCTATGTGAGCTACTCGGGCAACTGGAAGTCCGTCGGTTTCGCCATGAGTCGATGCGCAGCCTCCCGAGGTACATATGATGGCTTTCTGCCGCAGTTTCCCCCAATTCGTAACGACGATTGATCATATCTCTCGCGGTGACTGAGACACTCGTTATTAGCATCATGAAAGTCCCGTTAGCCTTCCTGCTTTCCACAGCAGTCGTATCTGGCGGGGTAGTTCCATCCCCATCACACCCTGCGCTTTCTCCTGCAGCAACTGCCCTTCCGGCTTACACGGTGGGAGCGCCACCATTGTTCCCAGGGGAGACCATTCAGTTGACCGAAGATGTCCTAAATGGTCTCAAAGTAAGTCTCGGGGACATGAGTCTTTTGAATCTGTTCTCCTTCGGCAGTGCGCAACCTCAAGCCAAAACCACCCGTCAGTGTAAAACAATGCCCGGCGACCCTGCCTGGCCATCACCGTCAACATGGGACCTCTTCAATCAGCTGCTCGGGGGAAGCCTTCTGCGGCCTGCCCCACTTGCAGCGCCGTGCTACTCAGGATGGTCGCAGTTCGATAATGCAACCTGCTTTCACCTGAGTATGAACTGGATCAACTCTTCCCTTCAGTAAGGATTCCACCCCTCATCTCGAGTATCCTTCTTGCGCCCAGTGAGTCTAATGGCCTGATCACTAGCATCCAACATCCGACCTCTGTCTTGAGTCCTCTGTACGAGGGGCGTACCTGCATGCCCTTTGGCTTCAACTATACCAACACGTGCACTGTGGGGGGTTACCCGACGTACGTGGTGAATGCATCGACCGCTGCGCAGGTTCAATTGGCCGTGAACTTTGCGCGGAACTCGAATCTGCGCCTTGTAGTGAAAAACACCGGTCACGACTTCAACGGGAAGTCCACTGGGAAAGGCGCATTGTCCATCTGGACACACTGGTTGAAAGACAAGGTCTTTTACCCTACCTTCGCGGCCGACGACGGTTATGTGGGACCCGCGATGAAGCTTGGGTCGGGAGTCCAGGCTTTCGAGGCATACGAATTCGCCAAACAGTCCAACGTGACAGTCATCGGTGGTGAAGGCGTGACTGTGGGCTTGGCCGGGGGATACACCCTCGGCGGGGGCCATTCACCGTTGAGTAGTCTGTACGGCATGGCAGCAGATCAGGTATTGGCGATACAAGGTGATCGACCCCCAACTGCCCCTTTCGGAATCCTCAATACTGACAGCCGATAGTGGTTCTCGCGGATGGTCGGTTCATCACCGCCACGGCCAAGCAGCACGCGGACATCTACTGGATGCTGTGTGGCGGTGGTGGAAGCACCATCGGGGTCGCGACCTCCATCACCGTGAAAGCATATCCTCAGATCTCTGCGACCACCGTCACTTTCAACTTCTCGGTCGCCGACACCCCCGGTCCCGATGCGTTCTGGGCAGGGTTCGAATCCTATCTCGACAACATTGAGCGTCTGGTCGACGCCGGGACCTATGCATACTACGACCTGGGTGCATCGGCTGCGGCACGAGGCACCAATTTCCCCGGCGACAGGGACTATTACCTGCGAATCCAATCCCTCCTGGCGCCGAACATGACCATCACGGAGACGAAGCATCTTCTTCAGCCGTGGTTCGACCGGCTTGACACTCTAAACATCCGATACACCCCGCAATACAAATATGCGGATAACTTGTGAGTGGGGGGACGCATTATCGTGGCGGGCATTCCCCAGTTTCCCCACTAACGCCGTCGCGCAGTCACGATGCATGGAAATCTGCCTTTCCACAGGAATACATGGGGGCTGCGACGACGAAGATCGCCTCGCGTCTTCTCCTGCGCAAGGCATACCACGACGATGGTCTCCGGCACCGGAACTTCCTCGCGCATAAGGACGCGGTGGCAAATGTACGCTTCTGGGGAGGGGGGGGGGGGGGGGGTGCATTCCCCTCCCCCTTCCCTCCCGGACATTCTTTCTCCGACTCGACTCTGTATACTGACATGACCAAGGGCTTTTCCATCGCGGCCTTCCATCTCACCGGAAAAGGCAAACTCGTCGAACCGCCCCAGAACAACGCGGTGCTGCCCGCCTGGCGCGACACCCTGACACATGCCATTGTCATCGGCCAATGGAACTCGACCTCGAGCTGGGACGTCGTCGAGCATACCTCCCGCTCGCTGACGCAGTGGATGCAGGCCATGCGGGACCTGGGGGAGTCGGGCGTCTACATGAGCGAGGCGGATCTGCTGGAACCCGACCTGCAGAATGCCTACTACGGGGTCAACTATCCCCGTCTCAATGCGCTCAAGCAGAAGTATGACCCGACCGGGGTGTTCTTTGCTCTCACCGCGGTCGGAGCGGAGGACTGGACGGTCTTGGTGGAGGATCCGGTGCCGGAGTCGTGGAATACCAACGGCCGGCTGTGTCCTCGGAGGAGCTGACCTGCGGCGAGCATGAGACGGTGTGCAGGTTCTGGTGGATTGGGTATGTCCGTTTCTATGGGACTGCAGCAATACCTGAAACGTGCTTGGCCGCACATCGCGTGGCCTAGCAGCCGTGCTGATTCCAATTCCGATGATCTTGTTTTCTGTGTTGCGATTGTCAACTGTGGGAGCTGGTAATGGGAGTCTTTCTTGTTGATGCTAGGGTTACATGTGTCGGCTGTATGTGCTGGTTTTAAAGTGATCAGGAGCAAGTAATGAACCACGCTGGGAATAGTCCCTGCCTGGCCTGGAGCGCAGATTAAATGTCTTCAGGACTCTATTGCGCACAGAAGGTCTCGTATATAAGAGGGATCATGCAATGTCCCCATCAACTGGGGGTATCATTAAGTCAACTTTCAAAGGCTCTCGTGCTGGGCTTCAATATAACAGATTGGCTATGACCCATGATATTCGGCCGTAACTCAAGCTGCTTGCTACGCCTGTCGGATGTTGCCAGGATCATTTTGCTCATGGGCCTACGATTGAACCGGCAAATTTGACGGCTCCGGCTAGACATCTCCTCGTCGAAGCCATCCAACACCCTCTGAATAACTCCCCTGAGCATGGCTCGGCGCCAGTCCAGGGTCAGCCCCCATCACCCCGTCCAGTCGACTATCAATCCGGAACCAGCTCACAAGTAGTGGTTGTACCAACCGGGGCGGGAGGAAGAAACGAGCGAAGTATGTACCCAATGCGCATCTAGCGATCTATTTAACAAGGAACTGGATCTATCTAACGGTCACAGGAAAAAGGTCGGTGAAAGTCTATCGAACGAGTGTAAACACGAACACCTCACAGGACGGCGGGGGAGTAAAGGAAGGGCAAACAGGAGACAAGAATAGCAATCGAGAGTCAGGCACAGACCCAGATCATCATGTACAACAGGAAACAAAAACAGGACAGTGATCACATCGGATCCGAAAACACAGCCAACGCACAGTCCATCATCAACAACGGAAAACTGGCGAACCTCTCCCATAGCTCCGTCGGATACCGGGTGAGGGTCCCCATCCGCATGTCATCGATGACGCATCACTCGGCCTTCTTGGAGGCCTTGGTCCGCAGCTTCATCATCAGGTAGACGAGCCCGTACGAGCTGAAGACGAAGATCACGACGATGGCCGTGTCCCGCCACCCGTCGTAGTAGTGGGGTAGATTGAGGGTCGCCAGGTAGTCCGATCCCCGGCTTTAGGGGCAGACCTCACACTGCGCGGTCGCGCTGGGGTTGAGCAGGTCGGCAGCAGACCCCAGGGTCTCCAGGTAGGTGGACAGGTACTGCTCGCAGGTGGAGTTGGCCGGCAGATCGAAGATGGCCAGCTCAGACTGGGTGCATCTGACGTCGGTGTCCCACACGGTAAAGACCAGCATGCTGCCCATCAGGTAGTTGAACGGGTTGAGGTAGTACATCCAGTACCGCCAGAAGACATTAATCTCCGCGTAGGGCACCATAACACCGCAGAAGGAGACGAGGATCCCAATAACCAGCGGGTTGGCCAGGGAAGCAAACAGGGCGTTGGGCGCGTACGCAGCAATAAACTGTCCAATTCCAGTGTATAGAAACTCGTACATCAGCATCACAAAGAAGGTGGCCCCCGCCTTGTTCGAGTCCGAGCTGAACCCAACCGTGTAATACCAGATTCTCAATGGTAACCATCAGTCCCCAGCCGAGCACGGATGTCCTCCTCTCGTGCTCATTAAAGTATGAGGGATGTTTGAAGGGAGCACTTGCTGAATAAGCATCGTTGGTCAAACGGTTACGATTCTTGTCTTCCAAACAAGCGGCCCGGGTTCGACTCCCGGACGATGCAATGGTTTTTGCCCTCGGCTTGTGCAGATCGTCCAACTGTCAGGACACGCGCACTCAACCTTTTTGCTCTTCTTTGACCCAGCACTTAGCTTGTAGCAGTATTGAAAGGGTTGTCGCCGTCCAATGCGCTCGTCTGAACCTGGTATGGAGCTACGAACCCCGTGCCGTGACCGGCCCGCGCGGCAGAAAGATGCCAGTATATAGAATGCTCATGAGGCTATGTGGCGTACACCAAGAGCCCGCATCCCTCGGTCTAAACATTGAAATGACACCCAAATGTGTAGAAGCGTATATGACCAAAAGGTTACAAACTGCGCTGCTGCATCATAGGAACCACGCAGGATCCCGAGCATCCATCCGCACCAGCATGGAAGTCAACCTCTTCTTGCACCACCAGTTATGCAAGGTCGGAGGAGTTCCCAGACGGGTTACCGAATCTTATATGAGATATGAACATGACATGTGTGACATAATCGCTATCACGATTTTTGCATCCCGCTTTTCGCCATTAGCAAGGTGGACCGTTGTCAAAATGCGATAGCTATCTAAACTGCTTCAAACATACAGGTTCAATCGCGCGGCATCAATTACACAGGTTGTACAGCTTGCATCGATGTCCTCTCACAAGTCACGCCTGCTGCCCGATTGTGTTCGCAGGGATACAGAATGAACACCCGATTCTGCTCATATCGAACCGGCGCATGCGCACTCCTCGCCCCCAACCCATGTATACCAGAGCCAACAAATGAGCACCTGGTATTGAGCTCACAGGCACTCCGTGAGCGAGAGATCAGTACATTTCCCACAGCCTTTCATTCATCCCTGCTCAATCACAGCAAGCCGTGTCCACCAGCAGCATCGAGGCATCTGGGCTGTTGCCTCCGCATCACGAAGATAGATACACAGGAGGTTGACCTGAGCTGGCTGTCGGCCCAAGGGAGTTTCAGCCCACCTCCAGCGACGTATGCCGCCTTCGAAGATGTAGCCATCCCATTGGCAAAAATGAGAGATTCCGACACTTCGATGATGAGCAATGTGTCACCATACTATGTGAATATGCGTGGTATCCACCACCTAAGACGAAGGCATATATGACAAGCCAGACCAAAGCCTCCCTAGAGGCTGCCGCAACAAAAAGCCAAGACCACTGCATCGTCCGGGAGTCGAACCCGGGCCGCTTGTTTGGAAGACAAGAATCGTAACCGTTTGACCAACGATGCAACATGAAATATTGTAAGGTCAGAGATATCTCTTGAAGCCAGCAATCAAGATGATACTATCCAAGCCCACAGGCACCCGCAATCACCACGGTGGGAAAGCAATGTGTGTCCCGGGGCAATAATGACCATTACCGTCCGATCCATCACCAGCCACAACACGAGACACACTGGGCAGAAAAGTCCAACTCCGACCAGTCCTGTTTCCAGCATAGCAGACGATTACGGCGACGAATGGATTCTCACAAGACGCTGCAGGCAAAATGAGCATGATTGCGGCTTCAAGAACTAGTCCCTCTGCGCTGTACAGTACACATGTCATCACCCTTGACACCGTCCCACTCCACAGCTACGATGAGTGGAAGCCTAGAGATGAGGCTACTTCGCGCTCTATGCTCCCTCCACTGTTGTTTGTGATTTTGGCAGGGCGCCTGCAAAATGCATAGTATGCCACTATCAACAGTTGTTGGAACCATTACAATGACTATATGACGAGCATCATCACGGTGGAGGAGACGTGGATATATGCTGATATATGGTATCATACTACTGAATTTAACGGAACCATGACAATGCTGACAGAAAAGGGCGATTCCAATTTATTCTCTATTTTAGACTGTTATTTCAAAAATCAGAACGTTGATCAAGAGTTGGCCGGATGGTGTAGTTGGTTATCACGTATCGTTAACACCGATAAGGTCCTGGGATCGAGCCCCAGTCTGGTCATTCCTTTTTTAGTCTCCACGTCACATGCATACAGCGAACTACTTACTGGCACTGTTGAACTTTTACCATCAATTCGAAAGGAGACCTCAGCATATGCTGAAGATTGAAGTTGATAAGATGAAAAGGAACCAGTATAGTCCCGCGCCGATAGTACAGTACACGAGTACAGGGCTTCGTAGTTACCCACAATGGCCATTTTCCGTCCACTCCCTACAACCACTATTCGCATACTGTGGCAACAACATCAATAGACATGGTATACAGTGCATTGACCTTCCCCCTCTATAAACAACTCAACACGGCCTCCTCTGATCCCCCCCCCAATGGCTTCCACCAGCGCATCTGCCAGTCGTATCGGCATGGACAAAAACGGCGAGTGTGATGCCGGAAGCCGGTATGTGTTTTCCGGACCCGCGACCTTTGCGGCAAACCCCTCCTGGAAGGCCGGCGGCATGGCCTGGTCTTACTCGCAGATCAAGTATGCACAGGGGACCTCGCTACTCCAAGGTTCATGCGTCACCTTGCCCGCAAAGACGGCGCGGGAGGTGTGGTGTGTGAAGGTATTCCATTGAACCTGCTCGTCGAGCGGGAGGTCTTGCCAGCCGATGTGGCTGGAGCCATCGATATAGACATAGTCGCCCTGGGATTGCAGAATCAGCTTTTGTGAACCTTCACACGCCCTAGGCGCTGCTTTACTCGTGTGAGATTGACTCGCACCGTCGCCTGTTGGAGACAGCCTACGTTAGGGGGATGGTGCGACATACTTCCACCTGCATCCACGGCAAAAAGCTCCCACCCAGCATCTCGAGTAGGCTTTGCCCGCGATCGAGTGCAAAGGCGGCGAGATAGATCACTTGAACGACTCCGCCGGCCTGGCCGCTCTGCGCACGTGTGGTCTTACTCAAGCCATCTACTGCGTTAGATGCTACCACACCGTCGTAGGAGTGAGCGACAACGACAATCTCGTTCTCGCCGTCGGCGAGATTCGTCAAGAGTCTTCGGAGAGAGGCAACATCGTCCGACAGGGTCTTGGAGGGAGGCTCAGCTCCAATTGAAGGATGGGCTGGACATTTGGATGCAAAGCCGAGATCTTGGAGCTGAGCTCGAAGGGCATGGAAGAAAGGGGGGGTGATCCAAGCCCCAAGGGAGAAGACGATGACCGGGGAGTTCATCCTGGGAGTGCAGAGGAAAGCAGTTCGGAGAAAGAGGCAGGCGATCAATACATCAGATGCGGAAATTAAAAAAAAAAAAAAAAAAAAAAAAAAAAAAAAAAAAAAAAAAAAAAAAAAAATCCGGATCCCCCTCCCGCGGGCAGGGGCCGTGAGACCAAGGCACGTTGTGAGCCGTTGATGGTCCCATCTCATGACTCGCGTTCGCGCACAGCGCACGGCCTGGTTGGCTGTTTATTGTCGGGATGTTGAACCGATAAATTTGACAGGTGGGGTTCGAGCCTAATCCCCCGCAATGGTTGGCCTGGTAGTTACGGTAGTCTCCCCCTAACAGTTGTCTATCTACTAGCTTCCCTTTCGACTACATCTTAGGGCATTGACTACTAGGTACCTACCTACGTACCTGCTAGCCTATTAGGGAGCTACCTAGCTAGTCTACTCCAGTTATCATCTTTCTTTGTCTGCTCACTCCCCTTTTCTTCTGATCCCTGTCTGCCCGCTGGCATAAATCGAGTGTGTTCCTCCAGGCTCCAATGGCATCCACACCGTTGTCATGGCTTTTGTCGACCCGCGCCAGTCGACCCAGCCTCATCAAACGGTGACAACTATCATAGTTACGGCTCTGGCCATCTTTTTTGTCTTCCTCCGACTGCTAGCTCGGGGTAGGAAGCGTGTACGGCTAGGCCCCGATGATTACACGCTCATTGTCGGATTGGTATCTGCCATCTCTTTCCGTTTTCACGCGGTTATTGGCTAATGTGCATTAGGTCTTTGTGATAGTGATTGCAGCTGTCAACCTCGCCTGTCTGGGCCAATTCCCACAACTGCAATGAGCTGAACCATACTGACGGTGTCTGCCTAGGTATTCACTATGGGATGGGCCGCCACACGTCCCGCATTCCACCGGCCGATCTTCTCATTTTCTCCCAGGTACGATCATTGTATTTTCATGTCACCTAGTTCGCGTGATCGTTGACGTGTCCTGTACAACACAGCTCCTATACGCATTCGAGCCTCTCTACATCACCACGGTCGGCATCATCAAAATCTCCGTTCTTCTGATGTATCATCGCATCTTTCCAGTCCGTCTCATCCGCGTCGCGGGCATCCTCCTCGCTACCATCACTGTCGCCTGGGTCATATCCGTCGACCTTGTCGCCATCTTTCAGTGCACGCCCCTGGAGAAAGCGTACAATACCCCCCTGGCTGGTCACTGCATAGACCTCAAAGCCGCGTTGATCGGCAATGGGGTTCCGAACTTCGTCACGGACATCTGCATCCTCGCCCTACCAGGTCCGCTCATTTGGAAAATCCACGCAGGTTTCAGCCAGAGGATCTCAATCTTGCTTGTCTTCCTGAGCGGGAGTTTGTGTGTGACACGAAACTCATCTCCCCCCGCTGTCGACGATTTGTGGAACGCTAATACGATTCCTTTTTCTGTTCGGCTGGGTGCGGCCATGGAAGACCGTTACCAGGGAGGGCAAGCCCTCCACGCTGATTGTCGAAGTAGACAGTCCGAATGCGGTGAATATCCTCCTCCGCGGAGGCTTCGTACTTGACGGCAAATATTTTAACACCGGCTACTACAACCGCAATCAGCAGCTTTTACAGTACTTTAAATACCAGAAATACAGCCATATTAAGTAATACTGTCGGAAAAACCGGGCCTGCGTGTACTACACCGGCTCGTACGAATCAACGAACTACACATTCAGAAACAACAAGATACATACCAAGTGCGCAAACTACGGGCTGAAGCACTTTACTTTTAACCATATCTATACTAAGAAAAAGAATCGATTAGAGGCTATCCAGTAACACCGACTAAATGCCCCCGTATTATACGTTGAACTCCCTATCAGTAACAGTAATATTACTGTTTAAACCGTCCCCGAGCCCGAGGCCAGCCCTAAGCTTATCTAATTGCAACACGCCCGTGGCCGCTCTATAATAACCCAAACTGCAGCTGCTCGCAGTAAGAGCTGCAAACCGACCAAAAAACCGATAACACCAACCGTAGAAGTTAAAGCCGTAACTGAGAACAATCGCGGTAAGCAGCTAAAGCACCGCCATAAAAAGAATAATTAAAAGATTATAGAGGTTGATACCTACAGCCGGAGCCCGTCTATCGGCAACACCCCGGCACCGCCAACCAAAACAGCTTCGGTTCTCAGCCTCGATAATATTATAAACATATCCAAGCCCGTGATCTAATACCGAAGCAACCGGCAAAACCAGTTCACCGTCCCGAACAAGAGTAATAATAATAAGCTTAGTATTCTTGCTCCGGACGCCACCGAATCCACCCCAACCGCAAGCAATAAATAGCTATTACAAGCAGCTTAAAATTATACAGACAAACTATTAGAAATCTAATAGTATTATAACACATCTTCTCAGTAAGAAGAGAATGCGGAACACAAAACTTATTACTATCTAAAAGCTTTGGATAAACCACTACAGCAGCCAGATAACTATATACTCCCAGGCCCTAGAGGAGCATTTTTATTTGGTAATAAAACCAACACCGAGTACGGGACTTACTTCGCGGATCTGCTTCTTTATAAACAGGTATATTAATCCGAAGACGTGGGCAGTCCGATATTAATCCCGGTTTCTCAGCATTCTCATACTACAGATGCCGGGGGAGGGCTGCGTCCACATTTATAATATATACCAGCCCGGTAAGAACAACAACCAACACAAAACCGACGGGCCCGAGCCAACGCCCGAACCCGAAGACGAAGATCTCTGTAAAAAAAAACAAATCCAGTACTTAATCTACTTTCTGCAGCCCTGCGGGAGCCGAACAAGCATATAGTTCTCAAAGATTTTAATCTATATTATCCGCTTTAGAATCCGCCGGGCTATACCCACACCAGCAATACAACCATCCAACTACTTAATATTACTACCGACAAAGACCTCGAACTGCTCCTACCGGAGAAAGCAGTCATATATAAAAAAAACAGTACCCGTACCACCATCGATCTGACATAGGCCACGCAGTGGCTTAAAAAACACCTCAGCTACTACAGTCCACAGAAAAACTAGTGGATCAGGATTAATCACATACCGATACACACCGTGTTTAACTTCAGCCCTGCCCCTGCCCCCGCGGTGAAGAGGTGGGACTGGGCCAACACCGACTGGCAAGCCTATCGCAGCGAACTGGCCAACCAGCTACAACCAATAATCGGCCAACTGGCCAGACCGATTACCATCAATGCAGCGGTGGAAGACCTCGTCGAGGCCCTGACTACCGCTGCCGAAACCGCCATGCCGAAGAAGACCATCACCGAATACTCCAAGCCCGGTTATACGGAGAAAATAAAGAAACTGAAGCACCGCATGCAGCAAACAAAGCAGTAGACTAAGTCCGGCCGCCGGGCGGACTAAAAGACCTACAGCCGAGCCCGCAACGCACTATATTAATAAACTGCTAAATAGAAAAAACAGATACATCGAGAAAAAGTAGAAGATAGAAGACACTTTATTAAGAGATTTTAGAAACTAGCCCGCTGGGCCCGTATACGCGGGGACCCGAGGCCTACATTTATACCCGTACTACAGTCGCCAACCGGAGAACTAGTAGAAAAACCCGAAGCTAAAGCCGAACTCTTTCAACAGACCTTATTCCCAGCCGTCGGCACAGCAGACCTTACCAATATTAACAGCTATAAGTACCCCAAGCCGTACAAAGCACCCCGGGTGACCCTAGACGAGATATACCATACAGTTCGGCAAGCCGCACCCAGAAAAACTCCCAGTCCCGACAGGCTGTCTAACCTGGCTCTTCAGCAAGTTTTTTCTTTTATTAAGCATCGATTAACCAATATCTTCAACATATATCTGAATATAAGCTATTGCCCCCAGCACTTCCGCCGGTCGACCACCATAGTTATTTACAAGCCGGGTAAAAATAATTATACCATACCTAAAAACTATTAATCTATTGCTCTACTTAATACGCTGGGCAAGACCCTTAAATCAATCATCGCCTTCCGAATTAGCTATATAATAAAAGTCCTCGGGCTGCTCCCGGAGCACCACATAAATAGGCACCGAAAAAGGTCCTGCGACCACACTCTGTATCTAATTCTTAAACAAATCCACACCGCGTGGCGAACTGACTATTCAGTAGCTAGTTTACTGGCAGTTAATACCCAGAAGGCCTATAACAACATAATACACCGACGTCTTCTCTACAACCTACGAAAACGCCGCGTGCCGGCTAAAATAGTCAACTAAACTGCTTCCTTCCTCGCCAACCGGCGAACCGCCATCGCCATATAGAAGAAAATTATAAAGAAAAAAAACATAGCCGTGGATATCGCCCAAAGCTCGCCGCTCTCACCTATTCTTTATCTATTTTATAACACCGACCTTCTTAAACTGCCCTCCGTAGACGGCTGTATCCTAATTGTTGGCTATATAAACAACGTCTGCATGCTGATATAAGGGGACACTGTTCTTAAGAACTACATCCATCTACAAAGGCTCCACCGCCACGCCGAAGTCTAGCAACGCCAGTACGCCTTAGTATTCTCACCATCGAAGTACAGCTTAATTAATATAGCGAGGGGCCTCCCGCGCACGGAAACACCCTCCACTATACGGCTAGACGAGCCCTTAATTATTACAGAAGTAATAGTTAAACCGGTATAGAGCCTCCGCTACCTCGGGGTCTTCTTAGACCCGGAACTGGCGGAAACCGCCCACCTCGCCCAACTAAAAACTAAAGCTACCCGGCTGACAGCCGCGCTTTCATCAATTACAGGCTCTACCTGGAGAGTACCAACCGCCAACCTACGCCGAATATACACCGCCGTTCTGATCCCCCAACTGCTGTTCGGGTGCTCCACATAGATTATCCGCGGCGCCAGGGGCCACCAGAAGACCGCTACCGATATCACGAAGCGCTTCGAGAGTATCCAACACAGAGCCCTATGCCGAGTGGCCGGGGCCTTCCGCACCACCGCCCGGGCTGCCCTCGAGATATGTGAGGCTACGAAAAGGACATAAATCAACCAGGCAAGAATTCCATTCTTGGGGAAAAACGGGAAGAGGAAGGCCCTGCGGGCCTTCACTCTGGACTATATACATATATAGAGCCATGGGTGCCTTAGGCACCCATGCCTGGTCACATAACAGGCCGTCAAGGCGCCTGTCAAGATATGCCTTAACATGCCGCCACCGCAGATTCTGATTAAGCGAGCCACCGAGGACGCCTGCCTCCGGGTTATAGCATCACCGTTCTACCACCGAGCCCTACTCCCAATCCGACGGGCCCACCCCAACAGACGCCGTCCCGGTGGCCCGGAAACCGATCCGGCCATATCACCGCTGAACCGCCTGAAACACCGACTGGCCCGAGACCTCGGGCTTAACCCGGGCATTCCGGTGCCCATCGAAACCGTCGAACCGATACTAGTTCCACCGTAGTAGCAGCCCCCCGCTATTAATATCGCCGACTCCAGGAAGAAAGCCCTTCGAAAATATACTCTTCTATCCCCCACCGTTCTCCCCGCGTACACCGACGGCAGCGGCCACTCCGATGGCATCGGCGCTGCAGCAGTAATCCGCAATAAGAACCAAATCATGCCGGTTAGCCGAGAGGACACCCACACAGTATACTCTACGGAACTAACTAGCATCAAACTCGCCCTGGTCCTCGCTGAAGAGGAGCCCGACACGCCCATCCACAGAAACACTGTTCCCCGGGTGGTGTCGACCCTGGCTACTCCCAAGTCTAAGTTAGTAGTAGTTCTCACCGATAACCAAGCAGCTATACGGGCCTGCGCTGAGCCCCGGCGCCAATCGGGCCAGGCAATTATTAAAAGAGTGGTCAACCGGCTCGACCGCATGCCGGAGGCCGGTTGGCAGATACGCCTCCAGTAGCTCCCGGGCTACAAAAACATACCGGGCAACGAACTGGCCGACCAACATACCAAAACAGCAGCCGCTCGGGCCGCCGGCCAACCGGTATCCTCCATACTAATCTCCGCCGTGCTTCAACGCCTCCGGAACTTAGCCAACCGGCAATAAAAGGCCAACTGGGCAGGCAACCCATATAGCTTCCACACCCGCCGTATTCTCACCGACGCGGCGGAGAGCAAGCGTACCCTCAGTCTGCACACAGGCCTCCACCGGGCATGGTCCTCGGTGCTAATCCAGATGCTAACTGGCAAAATTACCCTAAGTACTTACCTGGGCACTATCAGAGCCGCCGAATCAACCGCGTGCTCCTGCGGGTGGGGGTTCCAATCGGTTGAACACGTCCTTATCGAATGCCCGAGGCATAACTCTCTTTGCTGAAGCACCCTGTGGGCTAGAAAAAAACTTACTGACTTCCGGCGTCTCTTCGGAGAGAAGATAGTAAAGCAAACGATCCGCTTTATACTGTATACAAGGCTTCTGGGTCAATTCCAAAGCCTGACCGACGTCGTCCTTAACGCTACATCCACTGAGACGTGACCGCCACCGGCACGCGGGCAGGCTGCCAACTGCCAACCAGCCCGTGTGTCACCCGGCTACTCGCCTAGCCAGTAACCAACTGGCTTTCTTCGAACAGCAAGCTTTTATTCGTCATATCGAGGCCATGACATCCGGAGACCCTCGGGCCAACCGGTGAAGAATACTGATAACGGACCTGGGCACTGAACTGTGTGAGGCTACGAAAAGAAGATGAATCAACCAGGTAAGAATTCCATTCTTGGAGAAAAAAGGGAAGAGAAAGGCCCGCAGGGCCTTTACTCTAGATTATATATATATATAGGGCTATAAATACCTTAGATATCTATAACTAATTATATAACAAGCTGTTAAAATATTTATTATTATTTTTTTTTATAAATAGACTAATTTATATAATATATTAGTATCTAATTAGCTAGTTAGCTGAACTATAATAATTAAAAAAAGTAGAGATAGAAGAATTAATAACTAATACTATAATTAAAATAAATTTTTAGTTAGTTGGTTTAATTTAAAGAATCTATTTTAAAAATAGAAAAAATTTCTAATTAGATAATATATTTCTTAGCCGTCGGCTGTAGAAATAGTTAGTTAACTATAATTTTTTATTAGTTAATATAAACGGGCGAACTGGCTAGAAAACTAGACCGATTAATATAACTAACTAATTATAGAATTAAGAAGAATAGATTATAAATTATTATAAAGATTACTTAGGATTTTTAAAGCCTATGTAGATAGATGGCTGTTAGTACTAATAGCAGCTTGCTCAGCTAGTTGGTTGAATTAAGTAAACTGGCGGAAAATCTTAGCCGGTTGGCGGACCAGCGCGGTAAACTAGCAGAGAATATTAGCCGGTAAATGGAGTAGGATGGTAAACTAGCGAAGAATATTAGCTGATTAGTATATTAAAATAATAAACTAATAAAGAATCCTAGCTAATTAATAGATTTAAATAGTAAATTAGTAGAAAATCTTAACCGCTTAATAAATTATAAATAAATATATTTAAATTATTTTTAATTATTTTTAAATTAGCTGATTATAAACTAACAGAAGTAGTTAATTAAATAAAAAAATCTGAAAATAGTAGTTTATTTAAATATTAATTATAAAATATAATAATTTTTAATAATATATTTTTAAAATTATATTATATTTACTATAGCAGATTAATATTTTAATTATTTTAAAATTTTTTAAATAAGATTTTTATATTATAAGCTATAATAAATATAACAGTAGTTTATAATTTTTCAAATAGTTTATTTTTTTTATATTTTATTATTTATATTTAGAATTATAATAGGATTTTTAGAGTTTTTAGTTTATTTAGAATATAGATTTAATAAAATAAATACTAATTTTTAAAAATAAAATATTAAATAAAATCTTAAAGTTTTTATATATTCGGATAAGACTAGTTTATAAACTTTATAATTAATTATATATATAATTACTTATAGTTTAAAATATTTTAAAATAAATAACTAGCTTTTTTAATATAATTAAAAATAATAAATACTAATAAATATATAATTTTTAATATAAAACTTAGAATATAGCTAATACTGTCGGTTAATTTATTTAATATATATAATCTATATTTAAATAAACTAATCTTACAGAAACCAGATTATATTCTTAGTATATTTAATTAATTTATTAGTAGTAAAAATATTTAGATACTAAGAACCCCCGAAGATTTTTAAAAATTTAATTTAATTTAAAAATAATAGCTTTAGTTAATAAAAAATAATATTATATTAATTAACTAGTTAATATAGTTATTAACAGCTAACTAGATATAAAAAAAAAGTTTATTTAGTTATTCTAAATAAAATTAATAAATATTTATAAATAGTTTTTTAAATAATAGATAATATTTTTATTTTAATTATTAATTTTAGAATAATATATAAAAAAATATTACTTAATACTATAATATTTATAATAGTAAGACTAAAAGTAATTAATAAAAATATTATTATAATTAAAAATAATTAAAATTAATAATTTATATTTAAAAAATATCTGATAGTATATAGTTTTTATAAATTTTTTATAAACTTATTTTATAATAGCTTAAAAAAATAATATTCAGTTAATTAGTTAATTATTATTAATATATAATAATAAATATAGCTGCTGTAGGTATAAATAGAAAGCTTTTTAATATAATTTATTATTAGTTTTAGTTATATACAGGCCGGTACCGGAAGTAGTTAAAATAAATTATACTTCTAATTTATAATTTTAGTTTAATAGTAGATTAAATAAATACTAATAAACTAATTAATATTATTATATATATACGGCTAAAAATAGTCTTAGACTATAATATAATATATAATTTTAGACCCGGAATAGCCGGTAACTAGTTGGATATAATATAATTATATAATTTATAGCTGAAGAAGCTGGTTTTTAGATATAAAAAAATAATTTTATAATTAAAAATAATTATTATAAAGAATAAGTTTTTTTATATTAAGCTTAATATTAGTCTAAATAGTATTAGAAGATAGCTAATATAGTCTATTTTTTAGTTTTAATAATTATTTTAATTATTATATTATTATAATAAACTATATTAATTAAAATTTTAAATAAGAACTTATTCTTAAAAACAGCTTCGGCGGTAGGCTTAGTAAAAATCCCAGGAATTTTAGAAATTTTAATAATAAGAATAATAAAAAATATCTAAATTTTAAAGATTTTAATAGTAGGAATAATAAAAGATATCTAGATTTTAGAAATTTTAATAATAGGAATAATAAAAGATGTCTAAAATTTAAACTAGCTATTAAATATTAAGTTAGCTGTAAATATACTAATAAAAAATTTTTATAGATTTTTATTTAATTAATAATTTTATAATAAAATCTAAAACTGCTTGTATTTGTGGTTATTATTTATATTTTTTAATAGATTCTATAACTATTAAATAAGAATATCTAATTTTATATTTTATTTTTCTAAATAATATATAATCTTAAAGTTAAACTCAGAAAAAAATTTAATCTAATAGATTTAATAATAATTTAACTACTCAATTATTATAAGATATTATAAATTATAATAGTTAGTATAAATCTTAATCAGCTTATTTAATAGAATATTTATAAATTTAGGCCGCCAGGTTTTAAAATACTAAATAATAATAAAAAGTTTTTTATTATAAATTATATAATTTAGTTTAATAAAGAATATCTGCTTTAAAAAAAAGACCATAGATTAAAGCATATTATTATATATTTATAAAAATATACCCGTAGATATAAAATCTAAAAAATTAATTTTTATTTATATTTTTAAATTAGAATTAAAGTAAGCTAAAACTAGGACTTTAGTAAAGTTCTATTTTAAATTTTTAAAAATCTTTTATATTTTATTTATTTAATAATATAGGCGGTAGCAGATCTTCTTTATCCCGGAGTAAATAAAATAAGTTTTATTTTTTTTAATTATATTAGTAAATAGATATAATCGGTTGCTGAAGTTTAAAATAAAATAGTAATAAAAGTTTATAAAATCTATAAAAATTTATATATTTTTAATTATATAAAATATTTACTAGTTACTCATAGCTTTAATTTTAGCCAGATTTATATAGATATTATTAGTACTAATAATCAGACTAAGATAAAGTATTTTAATAATATAAAATATATATTTATTAATATTAAGCTGTAGTTTATAGTCTAATAATTAATAGAATATTTTAAGAATATATTAAATATATTTCTATTATATCTAGCTGTAGATAAGTATATTATTTAAATATATAGTATAAAATATATTTAAAAAGTTAAATATAGCTTTATTAATAAAGCTTTAGAAAATGGCAGATATATTATAAAGACTAAAAAATATAACCAGATATTTAAACTATTTATATTAAGTATTAAATATAATTAGCTACTTCTAGTTTTTTTTAATATAAAGCTGGTTGAATATATAGATTATATTAAATTTAGTAAAAACTATAATCTTATTTAACTAGTTTAAAATCTTATTAATTAATAGAATAAAATAATAGTTTTTAATAATAATCTTATTTAATATATAGTAGTTTATATATACATAAAGATTCCTGCTAGGCTTATATATAAATAGAACCGGGGCTACTACCGGAAAAAAATTCAAATAAATAAAATTCTTATTTAGATTTTTATTAAAATATTTTTTAATTATATTTAGTTTTTGTTTAAATATTAAATAGTAGTTTCGGGTAAATAAAGACTTAGTATTACTAAATAAATAGATTTTATAGTTTTTAAAATAATATAATAATAAAATATTAATATTCTGCTTTATAAAAATATTAATTATATTATAATATTTAGAAGAGATTTTTATCTTCAGCTGCTTATAAATATATTTAGATTTGTTTTTTATAAATATATTATAGTTGTTAGGCTGAACCACTTTAATAGTTATAAAATAAAAAAAGATTTTAAAATAAAAAAAGATTTTATATATATAAAATATTAATATAAAGTTATAATAGTTAGATTATATAACTATATAATAAAAAGTAGATATATTTATAAAATTAATATGAACTAGTAAACTAGCTGGTAAATTAACGGAGCTAATCAGTAAATTAGTAAGGTTAACCGGCGAGAAGCTGGTGGTAATATAAAAGAAATAAAGAAATAAAAAACTACTATAAATGATAATTTTAATTATATAAGATCTTATATATTTAAAATAGTTTTTTATAAAATACTAAAATAAATTAAAAGCAACTATTTGCTTAATATAATTAATATAAGAATTATAAATATAGAATTATAAATTACTTAGAATTAACTTCTATCAGAAAAGATTAGTTAGATAATAGAATAATTATTCTAAATAATTACTAATAGTTAGAATATATGGAATACTCTCTGTTAATAAAATATATAAAAAGCTGTTAGTAAGAAATAAAAAAATAGATTTGACTAATTTATAAATACACAGCTATAGTCTATATATAAAAGATTTATTAAAAAAATTTATTTTATTTTTATTATTAATTAAAATATAAACAGTTTTCTAGTTTATATATACTATAAAAATAAAATATAATTTAAAAACAGATTGCTTTTTATTAAAAATAACTAAAAAACTAACCAGCAAATTAATAACTGGCTGATTAACCAGTAAAGATTTAGCTGATTAGTTAATTAATAAACTAAAAAATAAAAAAAAAAGAAAAAGAAAAAGAATAACAACTATAAAAAGAACTATATAATATAAAAATAGAAATATCTAAAATAATTAAGTCTTTAAAAAAAGGTTTTTTATTATATTTTTAGTAAGAAATTATTCTTTTATTTTTTTTAATAATAGATTTAATAAAAAAAAGACAGATTTTTAAAACCATCAGCAGTAATTTTATAAATACTATAGTTATAGCAGATTTTATTAAAATAATATATATTATTTATATAATAGCCGGAGTCTTAGTAATTAAAATAGTAGAATTAATATATTAATATTATTTATTTTTCTATAATAAGTCTCGGGGGCTAATTCTAGGAGATAAATTAGATACTAAATTAGTTCTATAGTTTAATAGTAATAATATTAAATTTAATATTAGGATTTATAAATAGGCTTAATACTAGAAGAACTAATAAGACTCTAGACTTAACTATAAAAACTAATTTTTTTATAATTTAAATAAACTAGTTATAAGAATAGTAGAAGAAGATTTTTATTTAATTTTTTTTATATAATAAGTATTATTAAGTATATTTTTTATATAAATATACTATTTAATATATAAAAAATAATTATTATAGAATTAAGTATAGTAAAATACTTCTATATATACTTAGGTTTAAAAATTTCAGCTTTATTAAAAAGATTAAGAATATAATAATAATATATAATAATTATTTTACTAGATTTTTAAGCTACTAAGACTAGTTTTTAATTAACTATATTAGTTATAAAATAAATACTAAAATAATACTTGATTTTTTTAAGTAGACTGGTAAATCTGATGTTCGGACTATAAATAGCTATCTACTATATTATTAAAAAAATAGATTTTTTTATTTAATTTAATATATATTATATTTAGCTTTGCTTAGTTAGAAATATAAATAGATTTTTTTTTAGCTTTTCTAAAAGTATAAATTTTTATAAATTATATATATTAGTTAAATTACTTTTAAGAGACTGCTAAAAATAAATAATATAAAAATATTATATAATAATAGTAGCAGCGGCAGCTATAATAGTAGCAGTATAATTAGAATTTGTATAAAATAATTTACATTTTAATATAGACTTAGGCTTGGGCTTAGGCTTAGATTTAAACTTAGACTCAGGCTCGGGCTCGAGCTTAAAGAAAAAGAAGAAGAACAGATAAAATAAACTACTGTTAGTAATAAGAAATTTATATAGATTATTTTATTTTTTCTAATAAAAATAAATAAGTTTTTTTAAATAAAAATCGTTAAAGATATTTAAGACTTTGTTAAGTATATTGATTTTACTAACTTTAGATTATTATAAAAACTTAAATATTTTATTAATATTAAAAAAAACCAGATTATTTAGATTTTTTATTTTTATAGCTTAGCAGCGGGAGTAATAATATATTTTTTTATAATAATTTGAAAAAACTAGAATTTTTATTTATTTAGATTTATTACCGGGTGTGGTTTAGTTTTTTGGTAATTTTTTTATTCTATAATAAAAAAATATTAGTCGGAAGATAAAAATATTTTATATTTTCTAAAACTAAAAATCTAATATCTTTAGATTATATTAAAAAATTAATAGAATTAATTAAATTAATAAAATAACTAATAGGATTAGAGAGTAGGAATAAAAAGTAGAAATTATCTAAATAAAGTAATAAAAAGCTTATTAATAATAAGCTTTTTAGTAGCTGTAATTAATAACAGCAGCAGTTAGGATCTGAATTAGAAAAAAAACAGATTCTTAATAATAGAAAGAGATTAAAGAGGATAAAAAAGATAAAAGATTAATAAGAGAAGAATGGAATTAGTGTAAGGCTATAAAAAGAAGATGAATCAACCAGGCAAGAATCCCCGGGCTCACCAGTTGGGCCCGCGATTGAACATTAACCGGCCGGACTCCCCCTGAAGCCCGAAACGCCCACTGCGCTGGACCTTAGGGGGGGTAGACTTATTAAAGAAGAACGCCAAGCCCGACTCCTCGGGGTGCTGCTTGACAAATATTTTATGTTTAATACCCACCTCCGGCATGCAGAGGCCCGCGCCTCGAAGGCCCTACAGACTATTAGGACCCTGAGAGGGTCTAATTAGAGGCTTATTCTTACCGAGCGACGCCTTTTTTATACTGTCTGTATTGTCCCCGTTATAATATACGCTGTATTAGTCTAGCACGCCCCCCGGACCCGCGGCTGTACTAAGTAATATAACCGGCAGATCCGTATACTTAATAAAATCTAACGCCGCACGGGCAAGGTTATATCCGGAGGCTTCCGTCTGGTAGATATTAATATTTTTAATACTAAACTCCAGCTACTACCCACCCTGGAGTATTTTTACCGAGCCCGCCTGTAGGTTTTTCTCCGGCTGGCTACCTTCCCGCTATACATTTATTTTGCTAACCGGCGAATATTCTACTGCAACCCGGTTCTTCGATCGCCCCTGGAATCTGCGGAGAAGGATCTGGAGCTTAGCACCGACGTCGAATTTGTTATAGTAGAACAGAGACTTTTTTTCGCAGCCCCTCCGTGGTGGCACCCCCTGGAAGTAGTAATCAGTATCACCAAGGAGAAGGCTCTGATAATATACTTTATCCGCATAACTGCAGCCCCAACTACTGTAAGAATTTATACCGACGGATCCGGGCTGCTGGCTGATACTAATCCGATGAAGTAAATTAATACCGCTGCGGTGGTCCTTAACCCCCCGGTGGTTTTTATAGCTTATATGAGAACGGAGCGGGAGTGTATGGTGCTGGTGGCAGAGCTAGCTAATATTATTCTCGCCCTTCGAATGGCGAGGGACAATTCGATTCTTTGGGGTCTTTTAGAAATATTCACCGACTACCAGAGCACTCTTCAGGCGCTGAAGAACCCGGGGCTAGTGTTGGGGCAGTATTTAGTAAGAAAAATCATCGATTTAATTAATTAGAGGCGCTAGCTTAGTGCCAACGCCCCCGGAACCGGAGATCTCATCTTTTTTTAGGTGCCCGCGCATGTGGGCGTTCCAGGAAACGAGTACGCCGACGAAATAGCCAAGCGGGCTGCAGGGTGGAGGAAGAAAAAATCTGGTCCCCGTGGTCCGCCGCTGCGGGCCTAAGATAAGGCGGGGACGATCCTAAAATCTTTTCTGGAGGCTTGGATCAAGACAACCGGTAAATAGGCTTGGCAGACGAACTGGTAATAATTGATATACGGTAACTTTCTTCGGCAGTGGGTGCCGGAGCTGGAGGGGGCTAAAGGTCTTCGACGGTATGATAAACTGAGTTGCCCCCAGGAAGCAGCCCTGTTCCAAGCTTGTATGGGTAAGATAGGCTTTAACAGCTTCCTTGTCTTTATTAAACGGACAGACAATCCGGGCTGCTTCTGCGGGGAGGCCCCGGAGACCGTGCACCATGTTCTTCTGAACTGTTCTTGCTATAGGGCTCTTTGGAGGGCTGGCGGAGACTCTAACCCTGGCCCCCTACAAACACTGGCGGAGGCGCTTACCGAGCTGTAGTGGGTAAAGCAAACAACCATATTCCTTCTGGTAACTGGCCGGCTGTTTTATCTGCTATCAACGGCACCGGTGGTGGCATTGATGCCGGAGGCAGGCTCCGAGGCAGGGTCCTCCGGTGAAGCGGACATGCTACGGCCTCCGGGAGCTCGGCGCGTCCCGGGGAGCGCTCTAACAGCACCTGCTGATCACTAATATCTTGTTAATTATCCCACCAATCGACCATTTGGCCCGGCAACCGGCGACACCCGCCAGTTCGCAGCAGGGCCCGCAGGCCAACCGGCGACCCCCGGTAACCAGCCGGCCAACGGAACCGAAGGCTGGAGCATCGACACTTCCTATACCGGCCCGAGGCGACAGCAACCGGCGGAGACAAGGGAGCCAGTTAGCCGGGGAGACTGCGAACTGGCGAAGGACGCCGCGCGCGATTAACCCGGCATGGGCTCCCGGGCTCGCTAACGGAGTGCGGCGAGCGAAGGCAGGCAGGGAGCGTGGGAGAAGAACTACGAAAGCTAGTTAGTGGTTTTAGGGGCCCACCGCCGCACAGATCGACCCACACACGTGAATTGGAGCTAGGAAAGCCAGCTCGAACTGGAGGACCCAGTTGGCAGTAGAAGGGGGCCAGTTGGCGGCGTTAGATGATGCCACCCACGGAGAATTTCATCCACGAAGGCCTATCTCGCCGCACGAATCGACCCGTATACACATGAATTGGGAACTGGAAGAGCCGGCTGTTGTAGAAGAAGCCAGTTGGCTGACATATCTAGAGTTGCCAACTGGTCTAGAAGAGGGAATCCTGCCTGTATATAGTTTGCCAGCGCCCTTAGCCACTCAGACATGGCCCTGTACAGGGCCGCACCTGAGTATAATGGATATAATCAATCAATCAATCAATCAACCAGGCAAGAATTCCATTCTTGGGGAAAAAAGGGAAGAGGAAGGCCCGCAGGGCCTTCACTCTGGACTATGTACATATATAGGGCCATGGGTGCCTTAGGCACCCATGGCTGGTCACATGACAGGCCGTCAAGGCGCCTGTCAAACTGCGTGGCAACTGGCGGATGCGGTGGCAGCCGGTGGGAGGAGAAAAACGCCGCAAGGTAGGTATAGAGGTAAAGTATGCCCGGAGGCCATCAACTTCGCCAGTTCGCTACGCAGGGAAGGAAACTACGTGGGACTTCTATAAAGAGAAGGACTACGTGAGGGTTGAAATTTCAAAGGAAAGGGGTGGCCAACTGGCCAAAACCTCTATTTTGTATATAATTTTAGCGCCCCTGCGGCTTGCCCACCCGTGGGACTGGGACCTGCCGCCACTCGGCCATTAGGGCTGACATATGCGTGTATGATAAATTCAATTTAATTCAATTCAATTCAACCTCGCCGCCGCCCCCGCCCGGCCGCACACCGCGCCGCCCGGGCGCGCTAACTGGCCCCATCCGCCCCCGGCCCTTCTTCCCTCGGGGTACCACCGGCCTCGGCTGGGCCCGGGGCTGGCGTATAAATATTTAGTAGTATAAATATAATTTTTAAAAAGATTATTTTTTTATATAAATTAGATTTTAGAAATCTGGCTGCTAACTAGTCTTTAGACTATTTTTTATATATATATAAATTGGGTTTCTGCTGCTAACTAGCTGTCTATTTATTAACTAGTCTCCGGGCTGTTTTTTATATATATATAAGCTAAATCTATCTATTAACTAGTTTAGCCGGCTGTTTTTATTTATTTTATTACTGCCCGGGGCTATTCTAAAAAAATATAATCTACTAACTAGTTTTATTATAATAAAAATAATACGGATTTTTATATATAAGTTAGATTTTTTAAAATACAGCAGCTAACTGGCCAGATTTTATTTATATAAAAATAAATAAAGCCGGCTGTTATATATTTTTAAAAAAAAGATACAGCTGTTAATTAGTAGACTACTATTATTATAGAACGCCGGGTATATATACACCTGCGGTCTGGGGGGGTTTTTTTTAACTATCCGGTACTACTAGGTCTATTAATAGAACATATATAATATAAATCTAACTAAGAATTAAATTAATATTTAATAATTTATAATAATAAGACTATTTAATTATTTATATAATTTATGTAATTATTTTAATTATTTATAAAGGATTTATTTTTATATAAAATAATATTATAATTTATCAGCCGGCTACCGGGGGCTTCTTTTTAAAAACTATTACTAGTCTACTAAAATATATAATTTAAAAATTTATTTATATCTAATTATAATATATAGAATAATATTATTATATTCCGATATAGATTCTAACTTAAAAATATTTAGTTATTATCTAATAAATAATAATATTATAGTATTATCTGATTAAATAGCTATGAAAATTAATTATCTAAATTAATAGTTTTTCTTATATTAAATTAAATTACTATTATAGTAATTTTTATTAGTAAAATAAAATTAATCTATCTTATAATAGTCTAAATCTAGTTTATATTTTTTATTAATAAATAAATAATCTAATACTTACCGAATTCTGCTTTAGTATAATAAAAAGAGCCGATATCGAAGAATTAAAAAATAATATTATTATAAATATTTAGCTGCTATAAACTAGTTATTTTTATAATAATCTTTCTAGTATTTCTAGTTTTAAATTTTAAGAAACTAAAGAATTAATAGATTATATTTTTATGATTTGTATTTATACTGAAAATTAAAATTAAGAAGATTTTTATTTTTTTATTTTATTAAAGATTTCTGTTTTCTATAAGTTTTTTTTAAAATATTTATATTATAGTTTAATAGATATACTGTTCTAACTAAACTTTTTATTTAATAATATTTTTAATCCGAATCAGTCTTTAAAGGATTTTAATACTAAAAGATAAATAGTAAAGTCCAGTTCCGCTTTATTAAATAAATAAAAAAAATAAAAAAATAATAAAAATAATAGTATTTTACTGGCGCCGGAGTTTTTATTTATTCTATATTTTATATATCTTTTTATAATATTAAATTAGAGTTAAATTTAATAGGATTTTTTTTCTCTATTAACTCTACTAAGTCTGTTTTCTTAACTATAGTTTTACTAAATAATAGATAAGAATAATAGGAATCTTATTAATTTATTTATATATATTATTAATTAGATAATAAGATATTTGGTTATTTTAAAAAGATTATAGTTACTTCTACTATTTATTTATATTTAGTTAAATTTTTTTGTTTTAATATTTAAAGTATTAGATAGAAATTATATTATATTAATACTACTTTCTGATTATTATAATATTATATTCTAATTAAACAGTTAGATTCTTTTTATTTATACTAGTTTTAAGTTGGTTGTTAAGCATCCACCGAACAGCTAAAGCCTGTTAAAAATATTTCTACTTTAATATTAGGCTGTGCCGGCTGGTTGTTCGGTTAATATTATTTTATTTTAAAAGATTTTTTTTAAAGTTTAGCAAGCCCGATTCTTAGAGCTAATTCTTATTTTAAAATTACAGATTTATTTTATCGATTTTTTTATTTGTATTATTTTATTAATTAGAAGCTGTTTATTTTAAAGACCTGCTGTAATTATAAGTATAATTTATTATAAAAACTATTTTTTTCTGTGGATTTTTAAGAATTATTAGGGGTGTATTAGATATTATAAAAATATAATATTCTACCAGCTGTAGAATTCTAGTTTTGAATAAACTAATTTTAAAGTAATAAACTATTAAAAAGAAAAAAAACTCTTTTTAGAACTTCTATTAATATCTTTATATTTAATTATATTATTATAAAGAATTTATATTTAGATATTAGAATATTAACTAGTTTTTCTTTTAATATACAGCATACAAGGGTGTTTTTTAAATAGAATTTTTTTATATCTTAGGATTAACTAATCTATGTCTAACTATTATTTATATAGAATTTTTTTTTATTTTAGCTTTTAAAGTTCTTATTTAAGTATTTACTACTACTACTAAGATCTGTATTAAAAGCTATTTAACCCGGGATTATTTTTAAGACTTTATTATAAATTCTTATATCTATCTATTTGTTAGGGTATTATTTCTATTCTAATAATAAGATATAGATAATATACTTAAATATTATCTATTTTTAGAACTAGTTTATTTAGTCTATAAGTTATTATATACTTTTTAGTAGATTCCGACTTCTATAGCCACCGTCCGGCTGTCTAAATAAACTAATATTTTTTATAATATCTAATAAGTATATATTTCGGTATCTTAATCTTGTGTTTAATTTATCTTGTATTACTAATTCTGTTTACTAAAAATGGCCTACTAGTAATATTTTATTCTAATATATATATTTAATCAAGCAACAAGCGCTTTTTATATGTTTAAAGTTTAAAAATAAATTAAAGTTATTTTAATCCTAAGATTTTTAATTATTTATTTTATTTTATAAAACTAATCCGTGTTACTACTATTTTAAAAAAAACTTCGGTAGAAATCAGCTACTAGATAGTTTAATTAGTCTTTTACTTCTATATCCAAATTTAACAATTAATTTGTATATTAAAACTACTATAAGTTTTTATTAGAGTTTCCTCTGGCTTTATTTTATTTAAATATAGTTTACTATTTTTTAGGTCCCCATATTTATATTTTTACTTAAATCTATTTAAAGATATTAGGATCGGTCGATAATACACCCTGTAAAAAGGCTTTTATCTCTATTTATTTTTACTATATATATAAGTTTAACATCTGAATACTTATATAGATATTAGACTTCTTAATCTATATTTCAAGATAGAGTATTTATAATTATTATACCAGTGTTTATACCAAAGTATATTTTTTAGTTTAGGCTGGCCGTATTATACCTCTGGCTATAAAATACCCCGGGGGCACTATATTTTAAAGATCTTTAACCGGCCGCCTAAGCTAATATTGATCTGCTCTTAGAAAAATACACCGGCACGAGTACCGGCTGAACTCTAAAAATAAGTCTAATTATAAGTATTTTTTTTAATAATTTTATATACTATTTAACTTTTTTTTAAAGTATTTTTTATTTTTTAATTACTTTATTTATATGCTATCAGTCTCCGGCCAGTATTTAGTTTTAGATAAAATTTATTATTTATTTAAAACTGTATTTTTAAATAATTTAACTTGTTAAAAAAGCTTTACACGGATATAAATATTCTATTTAAGATAGGATTCTCACCTTCTCTAATAATTTATTTTAGAATACTTAGATAAAAGCTGTATTTAAAATATTTTCTATAAATTATAATATAAATTCCGAAGAGGCCAGCTTTTCAATTTAAGTTTTTATTATTTTACTTACTGTTATTAAAATAATTCTAGTTAGTTTTTTTTTATTTATTAATATACTTAAATTCAGCGGATATTTCTACCTAATCCGAGATTAATCTAAGAAGATTAAAGATTAAAATAAGCCCCGGCCGGGTTTATAAAACAGATAATAGAGTCCTATATACTTAAGAACTGGATAGTACCGCTGTTTCTTTTAAAACCCGCCCCCGGGGGGGCGCAGTCTAATAATTAGCGGGGCTAGAGGGAAGAAATAATACTCGGATAGGTATACTCCTCAGAATACTAGAGGACATAATATATATTTAAAAACTTAATAATTTACTAAATTTTATAGTTTATATCAATTATTATATTTCGCTGTATTCTTCATTAATGCCGGAATTAAAAAATCTATTATTAAAAGTTTTAACTAATTAGTATTAATTAACTTAGACTATATACTTTTAGATAGTATTCTATTAGAATCTCCGGCAGGCGTGGTTCTAGGGGTAGGCCCCGGGCTGTCCGAAGGCGGACCCGCCGAAGTAATAAGATATAGTAAGTATAAATAGAAGATTAGGTTTTAAAGAATCTAATACTTAATAATAATCCTTCCGCAGGTTTATCTATAGAAACCTTATTACAACTTTTATTTTCTTTAAATAACTGGATTTAACTAGTTTTCCGACTTTAAAAAATTATTACTAATTTTTTTAAGCCAGTCCAAAAATCTTACCGAGCCATTTAATCGGTAGTAATAACAGATAGTATATATAAAAAATAAAAATATAATTAGTATAAGCTAATAACTTGTATCTATTAAATATTTTTTATTAAAAAATAATAATTATAATACTCTATTTTTAATACAACAGAATTTAACAAGATTACTTAGGTCTTTCGGCTAAAATAATATACTCGCTGGTTTTATTAGTATAGTATATATATAGTCCAGAATATCTAAAAGTATTACAGACCTATTATTACTATATACTTCTATCGGCTTAAACTGATAGTTTTCTTAAAAAACTAGCAGTCCGCAAATATAAACCGGGCTATTTAAAAACCGAGATTTTATTTATTATTATAATTAAGTAGATAAATTATTCTACCAACTAAAAACAGCTATACACTATTATTTAAAAAATTAAGAAAAAGCTTTTAATCTGTTAATTCTTATTTTATCTAGATTTGGTAAGTTTTTTTATATTAAGTTAAATTAAGCCGCAGGCTCTATACCTAGTAATATTCTTCTATTAATTTCTTTAAGTTTTAGTCTTATAATTATACTTCTTCTAGAATCTAAAAACTTTGATTTTTTATAAGATACCGAGTAGTTTATTATAGAATCTTATCTAATTCCTAGTTGGTATAATTTATAGTTAAAATTATAATAATATCTGATTATTTTTAATTTTCTAATTTTTATTTTTTAATTAATAAAAATATTCTTAGTAAATACTTTCGCAGTAGTTAGTCTTTAATAAATCTAAAAATTTTATTTCTAACAGCTGAATATTAACGCCCCCGACTATTCCTATTAATTATTATAGTAGTCCTAGAAACTAATAAAATAGAACTATATATTTTATTTTATTATTTTATACTAATATATTCAAGCAAAGACCTGCTTTAAATACTCTAATTTTTTTATAGTAAAAGTTCTGGTTTCCTTCACAGCCAGTAAAGATTATGAAATTTTTTAGAAAAAAAAACGGCCGGACAGTACTTGTAGTAAGATGAACCGGCTAACTGAATCTAAGATTTAATTATAAGTTTTTTAATTGTAATAATTTTAATATATATTATTAGAGCTGGAATTACCGCGGCTGCTAGTATTAAACTTATTCTTTAATTATTTTTTATTAAAAAATTTAGATTATATTTATTTTAATTATAAGATTTAAAAGAGCTTTATATTAGTATTTATTATTACTACTTTTTTATATCGGGATTAGATAATTTACGCGCCTGCTGCCTTTTTTAAATATAGTAATTATTTCTTAGACTTTTTTTCGGAATCAAATCCTAATTTCCTATTACTTGTTGCTACTATAATAAGCTACTATTCTATTATTAAAAGTTAATAGGATAGAAATTTAAATAAATTATCACCGATATAAAACTATATAATTTATTAAATTATTATAATTTACTAAGAAGCCCCGAAGAATATTAGTTTTTTATTTAATAAATATATCCCTTCCAAAGTTGAGATTTTTAGTATATATTAGCTCTAAAATTATTATAGATATTTATATAGTAAGATACTATTAAATAAATAATAACTAATTTAATAAGCTATTTATAGATTTATTATATAAATTATTTATATTTAGATATATATAACTTAATTTTTAAGACAAGTATATAACTATTAGTAGAATTAACCAGATATTTAGTTTTTAGCTAAATATATCTGAATTAGAGTCCGAGGCGCGCCCGAAAGCTTCTAGAAAAATAGTATATATTATAAATCTTTTTAAATAATTTAAATTACTCCGGCTGTGGTAACACCCCCGGTATACCGGGAATACACGCGCGACTATTTAATTACTTCTACTAAGCTTTCCAGAATACCGGTCTGTATACAGATAATCCTAATAAAATATTTTTATAGGTGCTGGCAGGCTGCAGTATACAGACCTCAGATAAAAAAACCGAACCGCGCGAGTATACTAGCAAACAACAGATATTATACAGCAGCTTTTCTCGGGAATCTAAACGGAAACACTGGTCAGCGGCTAATAATCTACAGACCCCATCGGTGCCGGCGGCTAGAAGACCCCTGGGCTTCGGATATTTTAAACAAGGTCTTGCCCCCGAGAGGAATCGACCGTCGCCTGCAGCAGGCGGATACCTCCGCGGCCGGGGTGCAATTCGAGGGAATCTAACTATTACTAGATACAGAGACACAGTCTGCCGAGCAGAAAAAAATACAGAGACTTTCGGTAGGCTAAGCTTATCTTTTATTTTTTATATAATACTACCGGTCTTAGTTAGGCCCGAAAGTAGTATGCAAACATTCGGTGGTACGAACATAATTCCTAGGAGGGTGGTTTTATATAGAATAATCTATACATCGGGCCGTTTTTCTATATAAACTGGATCTTGCAGACTGGCCCGCGAATACCGTAGAACGGGGACTTAGCCGTTTGGGGCCCGCCGCCAACTGGCGAACCCGGCCGCCAACTGGCGAGCCGGGCGGCCCGCCGCGGCGCCCGCCCAGGATATGTTCCGGGAGGTGGACCGGAACACCGATATATATACCTCCGTCTGTCTGGGGCTCCCCCGGAGGACGCCGCCAACTGGCCACCTCGCTGGCGCCAACTGGCCACTCCTGCCGCCGGCGCACCCCCCCCCCCCTCGGGTCACCACCGGCCTCGGCTGGGCCCGGGGCTGGCGTGCAAACGTTCGGTGGCGCGAACGCGATTCCCAGGGGGGCTGTTTCCCCATACAAACTGGGCCTCGGGGACCTGGCCGCCAACTGGCCGCCCGCCCGCCAACTGGCCTCCGGGCCGCCTCCCGTGTACACACAAGCTGGGCCCTGCCGCCAACTGGCCGCCCGCCCGCCAACTGGCCTGGCCGGCCGCTCCTGCCCACCTCGCCGCCGCCCGGGGCCACTCCCGGGGCAGGCGCGAGCCCCGGCTGCCCGCCGAACGGGCGCCCCCGGCCCCAGCCCCCAGCCCCCGGCCCGCCGCCCCCGCCCGGCCGCACACCGCGCCGCCCGGGTGCGCTAACTGGCCTCATCTGCCCCCGGCCCTCCCCCCCTCGGGGTATCACCGGCCTTAGCTGGGCCCGGGACTGGTGTATAAATATTTAATAGTATAAATATAATTTTTAAAAAGACTATTTTTCTATATAAATTAGATCTTAGGAATCTAACTATTAACTGGCCTTTAAACTATTTTTTATATATATATAAATTAGATTCTTACTATTAACTAGCTATCTATTTATTAACTAGTCTTTAAACTATTTTTTATATATATATAAACTTAATCTATTTACTAATTAGTTTAATCAGCTGTTTTTATTTATCTTACTATTACCCGGGACTACTTTAAAAAAATATAATCTGTTAACTAGTCTTATTATAATAAAAATAATATAAATTTTTATATATAAATTAGATTTTTTAAAATATAGCAGCTAACTGGCCGGGTTTTATCTATATAAAAATAAGTAAAACTGGTTATTATATATTTTTTAAAAAAAAAATATAACTACTAACCAATAGACTATTACTATTATAAAATACTAAATATATATATATATTTATAGTTTAAAAAAATCTTTTTTAATTATTTAGTACTACCGGGCTTATTAGTAAAAAATATATAATATAAATCTAGTTAAAAATTAAACTAATACTTAATAATTTATGATAATAAGATTATTTAATTACTTATATAATCTGTTTAATTATTTTAATTATTTATAGAATATTTATTTTTATATAAAATAATATTATAATCTGCCAGCCGGTTATTAGAGGCTTTTTTTTAAAAACTGTTACTAATTTATTAAGATATATAATTTAAAAATCTATTTATATCTAATTATAATATTTAAAGTAATATTATTATATTTTAATATAAATTTTAATTTAAAAATATTTAATTATTATCTAATAAATAATAGTATTATAGTATTATTTACTTAAACAGCTATAAAAATTAATTATCTAAATTAATATTTTTTTTATATTAAATTAAATTACTATTATAATAATTTTTATTAGTAGAATAAAATTAATCTATTTTATAATAGTTTAAACCTAGCTTATATTTTTTATTAGTAGATAAATAATTTAATATTTATTAAATTCTACTTTAGTATAATAAAAGAAGCTAATATTAAAAAATTGAAAAATAATATTATTATAAATATTTGGCTGCTATAAGCTAATTATTTTTATAGTAATTTTTTTAGTATTTCTAATTTTAAATTTTAAGAAACTAAAGAATCGATAGACTATATTTTTATAATTTATATTTATACTAAAAATTAAAATTAAAAAGATTTTTATTTTTTTATTCTACTAAAGATTTTTATTTTTTATAAGTTTTTTTGGAATATTTATATTATAATTTAATAAATATAATATTTTAACTAAATTTTTTATCTAATAATATCTTTAACCCGAATCAGCCCGCGAAGGATTTTAATATTAGAAGATAAGTAATAAAGTCTAGTTCTGCTTTATTAAATGAATAAAAAAATAATAAAAATGATAATATTTTATTAATACCGGAGTTTTTATTTATTCTATATGCTATATATTTTTTTATAATATTAAACTAAAATTAAGTTTAATAGAGTTTTTTTTCTCTACTAATTCTATTAAGCCTATTTTTTTAGCTGTAGTTTTACTAGATAGTAAATAAAAATAATAGAAATCTTATTAATCTATTTATATATATTATTAATTAAATAATAAGATATTTAGCTGTTTTAAGAGAGTCATAGTTACTTCTATTATTTATTTATACTTAGTTGAATTTTTTTACTTTAATATTTAAAGTACTAAACAGAAATTATATTATATTAATACTACTTTCTAGCTATTATAATATTATATTTTAATTAAATAATCAGATTTTTCTTATTTATATTAGTTTTAAGTTGGTTGTTAAATACCTGCTAGATAATTAAAGTTTATTAAAAGTATTTCCGTCCCGGTATTAGACAGTGCCGGCCGGTTATTTAATTAATACCATTCTACTTCGGGGGGTTTTTTTTAAAATTTAGTAAGCCTAATTCTTAGAGCTAATTTTTATTTCGAAGTTATAGATTTATTTTATTAATTTTTTTATTTATATTATTTTATTAATTAGAGGCTGTTTATTTTAAAACCCTGCTACAGTTATAAATATAATCTAATATAAAAACTATTTCTTTCTGCAGATTTTTAAGGATTATCAAAAATATACTAGATACTATAAAAATATAGTATTCTGCCAGCTGTAAAATTCTAGCTTCGGATAAATTAATTTTAAAATAATAAACTATTAAAAAAAAGAACTTTTTTTAGAACTTCTACCAATATCTTTATATTTAGTTATATTATTATAAAAAATCTATATTTAGATACTAAAATATTAACCGGTTTTTTTTTAATATATAATACACAAGAACGTTTTTTAAATAGAATTTTTCTATATGTTAGGATTAACTAATTTATATCTAACTATTATTTATATAAAATCTTTTTTTATTTTAATTTTTAAAATTCTTATTTAAATATTTATTATTATTACTAAGATTTATATTAAGAATTATTTAATCTAAAATTATTTTTAAGACTTTATTATAAACTCCTACATCTGTCTACTTATTAGAGTATTATTTTTATCCTAATAGTAAGGTATAGATAGCATACTTAAATACTATCCATTTTTAGGGCTAGTTTATTTGGTCTGTGAGTTGTTATATACTCCTTAGCAGATTGACAGGCGCCTTAACGGCCTGTCATGTGACCAGCCATGGGTGCCTTAGGCACCCATGGCCCTATATATATACATAGTCCAGAGTAAAGGCCCTGTAGGCCTTTTTCTTCTCTTTTTTTCTAAGAATAGAATTTTTATCTAGTTGATTTATCTTTTTTTTATAGTCTTATACTAATTCTATTTCTTTTTATTAATTTTTTATTCTTTTCATTCTTTTTAATTTTTTTTTATTATTAAGAATTTATTTTTTTTTAATTTAAATTCTAATTACTACTATTATTAATTACAGCTGCTAAAAAGCTTATTATTAATAAGCTTTTTAATATTTTATTTAAATAATTTCTATTTTTTATTTCTATTATCTAATTTTATTAATTATTTCATTAATTTAATTAATTTTATTAATTTTTTAATATAGTCTGGAGATATTAGATTTTTAAATTTAAAAAATATAAAATATTTTTATTTTCCGGCTGATATTTTTTTACTGCAGAGTAAAAAAATTACCAAAAAACTAAATTATATTTAATAATAAATCTAAATAAATAAAGATTTTAGCTTTTCTATATTATTATAAGAAGATATACTGCTATTCCTACTGCTGAATTATAAAAATAAAAAATTTAAATAGTCTAGCTTTTTTTTAAATATTAATAAAATACTTAAGTTTTTATAGTAATTTAGAGCTAGTAAAATTAATATATTTAATAGGATTTTAGATATTTTTAACTATTTTTATTTAAAGAAGCTTATTTATTTTTATTAAAAGAAATAAAATAATTTATATAAATTTTTTATTATTAATAGTAGTTTGTTTTATTTATTTTTTTTTCTCCGAGCCCAAGTCTAAGCCTAAGTCTAAGTCTAAGCCCGAGCCCAAGCCTAAGCCTGTACTAAAATCTAAATTATTTTATACAAATTTTAATTTTATTATAACTGTTTTTACTACTACTGCTGCTGTTATTATATAGTATTTTTATACTGTTTATTTTTAGCAGTCTTTAAAAAATAATTTAATTAATATATATAATCTATAAAGATTTATATTTTTAGAAAAACTAAAAAAAAACTTATTTATATTTTTAATTAAATAGAACCAGATATAATATATATTAAGTTAGATAAAAAAATTTATTTTTTTTATAATATAATAAATAGCTGTTTATAATCCGGATATTAGATTTATTAGTTTATTTAAAAAAATTAAATATTATTTTAATATTTATTTTATAGTAGAGACAGCTAACCAGAAACTAGTTTTAGTGGTCTAAAAATTAAATAAAATAGTTACTATATATTATTATTATATTTTTAATTTTTTTTAATAAAACCGGGACTTTTAACCCTAAGTATATACAGAAGTAGTTTATTATATTTAATTTTATAATAATTATTTTTTTATATATTAAATAGCATATTTATATAAGAAATATACTTAATAATATCTACTATATAAAAAAAGACTAGATAAAGATTTTCTTTTATTATTTTTATAACTAATTTATTTAAATTATAAAAAAACTAGTTTCTGCAGCTAAGCCTACAGTTTTATTAGTTTTTTTAATACTAAATTTATTTATAAATTCTAATACTAAATTTAGTACTGTTGCTGTTAAGCTGTAGGATTAATTTAGTATCTAATTTATTTTTTAAAATTAGTTTTTAAAACTTATTATAAAAAAATAGATAATATTAGTATATTAATTCTACTATTTTAGCTACTAAGGCTCTAATTATTATATAAATAATATATATTATTTTAATAAAATCTACTATAACTATAATATTACTAAAATTACTACTAATAATTTTAAAAATTTATTTTTTTTTATTAAATTTATTATTAAAAAAGAGATAAAAGATTAGTTTCTTATTAAAAATATAATAAAAGATTTTTTTTTAAAGATTTAATTATTTTAGATATTTCTATTTCTATATTGTATAGTTTTTTTATAATTACTATTTTTTTTATTTTTTAGTTTATTAGTTAATTAATCGGCTAAATTTTTATTAGTTAGCCGGCCGGTTGTTAGTTTATTAGTTAGTTTTTTAGTTATTTTTAGTAAAAAGTAATCTGTCTTTGGATTATATTTTATTCTTATAGTATATATAAATTAGAAAATTATTTATATTTTAATTAATAATAAAAATAAAATAGATTTTTTTAATAAGTTTTTTATATATAAACTGCAGCTGTTTATCTATAAGCTGGCTAAGTTTATTTTTTTATTTTTTACTGATAATTTTTTATATATTTTATTAATAGAGAGTATTCTATATATTTTAATTATTAATAACTATTTAGAATAATTATTTTATTATTTAATTAATCTTTTTTAA